GTATGAAACCTAATGCATAATGCATTGTAAACCAGGTCAATGTACAACGGGACTCCTATTTTAAAATTCCCATGCTTTACTACCACATTCTCATTCAAAAAGATGAGATAAAATATGCACAATGTGACAATGTTTACTTCGACACCAATCATAAGCAACTGTTAGGCATAAATGAGTGGCATTCATTGACTGTACACGCTTTGAAACCATGAGCCTGTAGAATGTAAAACATGCAGTGCTCACATTTATTTAATTAAATCATAGCCATTTAAAGATCAATAAATCACATTGGGCCACATTCATGTTTTTTCCATCCCCAAACTTAAAATAAAGTTTCACTTCCAACTTTAAACATCATAGAGAAAACAAAACATCTAAAATTGACAGGAAATCAACGTACGTGTACATGGCGAGACTAGAGTCATAGGTGGACTTGACCCCATAGGTCTCCTCATTAAAGCGGAACATCTCGCTTGCGTCCCAGCCATTAGACTGAAATTGAGAAAAGTTTTCAATTATGTAAAACCTCCACTTAATGACATTAATAGCAATAATACACTAATTTGGGATCATATACGGTTGTATATACGAGCATGTGGGTGGAACTCACTGCATCTGCATCTAGGTCAAAATTTTCTCCGTTGCTATCGCCTCCATCCCACCTTTGAAGGACCTTCTCTCTGTGGTCACCGTTTATTCTTGTTGAGCCAATAGCAGAGTCTGTAAAAGTGTCTGAAAACAAGCACACACAAAGCATTAAAAAACGTTCTATTTCTCACAACGCCACTCAAGCATACCTCTTTGTACACACCACGGATAGCGTAGTTGAGATCCACATCTCTGCAGATCATAGTGACTAGGTCACTAGGACCAAAGATCATGGTGTCTGTGATCTCTTCTCTCCTGGGATGGACAGGTGTGCCGCCACCACCGCCTCCATCTCCTTCCTCATTTTTCACCTTGTGCACCGCATCCACTGCCAGCTCACACTAAACACACGAGTGGGATTTGAGCAATGTGTCAAATTTAATGAGGAGTTGTTCAGAAAAATACACCTTTGCCCCAAAAAATAAATCTATTTGGATTAATCTCAAATTTGGAAAAACATATTTAAACTTGGTTCAGTGAGAACAAAACCTGAGATTCTAGAAAATGGAGGTTATCGATTAACTAAAAAACAACAGCTTCAAGCACGAGATTCAGAAATCAGAATCAATGCAGATGTGTCTGCCAGTAGATTTGGAGGGACAGACTTACACGTGAGCTTAATGTCTTAAAGATCCCCTCATATACACTGCCGTTCTTCACCATAACATCACATCTGGAGCCCTGAGGGAAAGATTGCATAATGCATGTTAAGTATTTATATTGTTGCTTAATTCTGAAAACAAATTAGAGTAGTTGGGGCTAAAACTAGGGAGCCTTATTGTAAATGTAATAATGCATCATCGTTTCAATTTACCCCCTGACCAACTGGGGGGTTTTTTTAAGAAAAAAAGGTTTACATTGTCCAGAAAACCCTATAGCTTAAGTTTAAATGTGTTTTCTAGACCTAGAAAAATCATGAAAATCTATAAAATTGCACAATTCCATGGGCATGTTTATAACAAATCCTAAAAAAAGGATACATTTTCTAGTTATGCCAAGCTCTAAAATATTTTATCAGGAAGAAACTGAGAATTTTTAAAAAAATCGTATACAATAAATTAGCACAACTGGAGAAGTAAATATTGTTATATTGCGGTGGACCTTTGGAGTCAAAAACTATCAAAGAAGGGTGTTTAACAGCCACAAATAAATTTATTTCATGCTAAAACTCACCACCACGGCTGTGAGGAAATGGAGCATCCTTGAGTTATTGTACACACCCTCAAAAACCTAAAAATAATGCATAAAAATATTCATTAATATTTACATTTTAAAATAGAAAATTAGTTTAAAAACGCATAAGAATTTACATACAGGTGGTGACTGTGAAGGAATCTTCACAGAGTTTCTGTTTCTTAAGGGGAAAAAACAGTCGTTAGTAATTATTGATAAATAAACAACAATTGACAAACAGATTATTATTTACATATAAATAACAATCGACAGGATATTAATGGCAATTGAACCACAAACAAAGATTTCCACGGTATTTTTACACGACAATAAGACGAATCGGGATATTAAGTATTTTCTGTACACATGAGCTGTATCAAATGTTCGGGAACGCGCCCAAATATAAAGTCTTTCCAATCAGTTTAGGACGAGAAACAGCCCGGTATTGCAAGAGTTGCTCTACTGTTACATGTGCGGACAACAATTACGACACCGCGAAGCGCGTGCTAAAACAAAAGGACAATCATACACGAGTTACAAAATAGCAATCGGATTGAATCTGGTTGCGCGTAACGACCAAAAATAATTGATCAAATTGGATGTGTAAACAATGGCAACAAGGCGCGTGTTTTAATTACGACAGACCACAAAGAGGGTTAGCGGACCTGGCTAACAACACAAGAAGCAAATGCCGAAGACAAGACACAGCTTGACAGATTAACATGCGCCAATGTACACATTTCGCGTCCCTCGTCACAATCAATCAAACCGGTTATACATTACGAGTGTTTGTACTTTCTTGTCACATGCATCCCGGCTCTTCTTTAAAGGCGTATGTAAAATGGCTCAAGTCAAGATGAAAGTCTAACACAATACTGAATCATATGGGATCGAAAAACAACAACAAAACACCGCTGATCCCTTCCCATGACCCGCCTCTGGGAGCAGCCATACGCTTAAAAATGTGTCAGTCAATTAAGAGCTAAACTCTATTGGTTGGCAATATTCTTTCTGGACGGATGTGTGCCGTTTTAGACAATCCTGCCAATCATTGGCCCAAAATTGTGTCCATCAAATATGCTTCGTGGCGATTGGCTAGTGCTCCTGCTAATTTAACAAGGCTCGAAACGATTGGTGCTCAACGGACTCTATTAAATATGCTCTATTGACGCGCCCACTTTGGCCGGTAGGCCTCATGTTAAAATGTCAATCCGCGGACTTTCTGAATGTGGCAGCCCAACGTGTGCGTTACCTTCCCGGAGTGGGTCTGTTAGAGTTACTCCCTGTAACCGACGAAGCCATTGACCCCGAAGTTCCATTGGATGTTTTGCGGCCACCGGGTCCAGGCTGCTGTTGGAAAGCATAGCGATTGTTAATGCCGACACAAATTAAGAATTAATCACATTTACCTATATTAAAATGATACCTAGCCGGTTTACTAGCATGTTACGTTACATATGAATGTGAAATCTTAAGGACGACAATAATTATACCCTGAAAGCTTTAATAATCTCGATTAAAGATTGTATAATTCAAACAAACTGATTGAAATTTGTATACGTGGTACTCACGTTCTGTCGGCGAAAAGACATAATCTAGCCGCTAACTGAGTTGCCCGCTAAATTCTCCTTGTTGCCTGTGACAAGCTAGTAGGTGGACTAGCCTGCCTGCGGTGTTATTTTTATTTTCCGCAGCGTTCTCAGATCCGCACGAGCGCGATCTCCGTTAAGGCCCGAAGTCCAGTTCAGTCCGATATTCGGTTACGATCGAACACTTAGAGATGAGACTTATGTTTCTATTAAATATTACCGGCACCACGTCGCGTGAATTAGCCAGCGATAAACGCGAAGGCTGTTTTTTTCAGAAACCCTTGATTGTCATTGGACAACATGGCGTGATGACGCAATGGCGCACAAGACCCGTATCACGTACACAGCCACACGTAAAGCATGCTTGGCGAAAGAATCGCTCATACTTTAGTGAAGAAAAAAATAATTGAATTCAAATTCTATCTATCTATCTATCTATCTATCTATCTATCTATCTATCTATCTATCTATCTATCTATCTATCTATCTATCTATCTATCTATCTATCTATCTATCTATCTATCTATCTATCTATCTATCTATCTATCTATCTATCTATCTATCTATCTATCTATCTATCTATCTATCTATCTATCTATCTATCTATCTATCATAATTACACAGACACAACTCACACATATTGTTTCAGTATAATTATATTATATCATATCATCATCATCATCATCATCATCATTTAATTCAATGTAGTACCTGAAACTCTAATTACACAGAGTGGGCAACAGTGTCCACCTTAACACACGGTCCCAGCACAGACAGACAGAGAGAGAAGAGAAAAGAGTGAGAAGGCACAATGAGAGGTTTAAATAAAGGGTAAAAGAGAGGGGCAAGAGGATAGAGAACAAATCATACTGAATGATCTGTAGGACCAAGAAGAGAACAAATGAAATACCAGAAACAGGATAAGAGAAATAAAACCAAAACAGAAGACAGATGCAGGCACTGAACTGGATGGCAGACACTGCAAAAAGACTGATCGAGGCACAACATCAAGAATGACTGGCACAAAACAAGAGGGAATGACAATTAACAACACGAAAAGGCACAAGAAAGGGGCTCTTTAACTTTTTTCTTTTCAAATGTTTGCCTGAAATCCGTGGAAAGTTTGAAGGAGACAGCAGTGTGAGAGAATGAGATTAGAAGAGATATAAAAAGGCAACAAAAAAAAAGAGAGAGAAAAAAAGAAAACAGATTTTGGAGAACAAATATTGTGTTCATATAGTAAACAACAAGAATAAAGGCATTGTGAAAAAATAATAATAATATTATTTGGACAATTATTAAATTCATTATTATCATCAAAATCATCAGTTATTATTGTCATTTTCGTACTCCATAACAATTTTTCTTTAAATGAAAGACATTCTCTCTTCCTCCTCTGGACTCTAGCTTTGAAATAAACGCACCATAAAAAAGATTGTAAAGCTAAAAGGAAGGGTAAGATGTAAAAACAGAAAGAGAGAGGGGGGGGGGGCAGAGGAGATGGGTGAAAGATCAGGACTCTGAGGTAACAATGGAGTCTATGGAGCTGTTTAATATTGTAATTAACCTTAAGAAGTAATACTAATGGACTTCAGAGGACTGGGCTTGATTTTTTTTTTTTTTTTTTTTTTTGCAAAAATGGACATTGTTAAGCCCAAGACAATGCCTTCTACTGAACTACCAAAATCAGTACAATTGAAATGAGCAGGAAGGAAGAAAAGTACTTTGCGACATTCATAGTTTGTCAGTGGCAGAACAAGAAGAAAACAAAACAACTAAAATGTTCCAGTAATAATAATAATAATAATAATATCAACAACAAGAGTGCTGGTGGGTAACAATCTCTGAACAAGTAAAAATATCCGCTCACCTGAGGGAAAAAAAAAAACTCTTTTGTATAAGTGCGAAGGGTCAAAGAATACTAGACATTTGAATGAATGTAATGACTAGAAGGACTCTTCAAGAAATAAGCTGCTAAAATCACGACACCCGCTCAGTGGTGGCGCTGACACTGTCGTACCTTCCTATGCAGCAGCACCAGAGGAGGAACTTTCACACTGACAAACACTGGAGAACAAATTAGTAAAAGTTGACCAACATTTCCACAATGCACCTCCAATTTAGTGTAGTACCATTACTTAGTGTTTTAAAGATGTACCGTCAGTATCATATATGCTTGTGTGTATGGGTGTCGGTCTCTCTCTCTCTTTCTCTCTCTCTCTCTCTCCATCACTCTCTCGCAACGTGAAAGCTCATGTTTAATAGTGTTAACTCGGCCGTGTGATTGTGACCCCCTCGGTCAGGTCTTCCACTGGAGAATACTGAAAATACTGATTGTAAAGGGCTCTCCTCTTCCTCCTCTATCCCACCTCGTGGTTTTCCCCTTTCAGAAGAAGGAGTACTGGTTGTCGATGGCTCTCGCCCTCCCTCCTTCCCTCTCCTCGCCCTCCACCCCTTCCAGCTGGAGGAGCGGCGGGTCCCGCTCGCGTTCCTCACACTCTTCTGCCCCGCTGCTCGCTCCGCCTCCTCCTCCTCCGGCGGCGGCGGCCTCTGTTTCGCTCCCTCGTTCCTGCGGCGGGGTCGGGGGCGGAGGGCGTCCAGGAGGCAGAGGGGGAGGAGGCGGCTGAGGAGGACTACGGGGTCTGCTGGTCAAGTCTGAGAACAGCGACAGAGAGGAGAACCAGTGCAGGAGGAGAGACGGATGAGAATTAAACGTGACAACAAATCGAGAGTAATGAAAATAAGATGCAAGATACACAAAGTTTAACGAGAAAGCTCTCAGCTATGACGCATGCTAGTAATGGAATTGGTCAACACATTGCTCACAGACTGTTCACACCCTGCCTCCACTAAACAGCAGTTACAGAGTCATCGATTGATAACTCGCTGCTCATTCGTTACATACGGACTCATTGAAACATCTAATCTTGAATCATGTTTATATGGAGACAGAGCTCACCGTCTATAAATGTGTGACATTCAATAAAGATTACGATTAACGCCAGCTATAGTGAGCAAATGTTCAATGATAGTGTTACCCTGCGACACATTTCAGGATGGATGTGTGCAACTGAAACCCAGCTGTGAATGAGGAAGTTAAGCAGACAGATGTGCACAGATGTAAACAGATGACCTGTCGCTACTCTTTTCTGTCTTATTCTAACCAGCTTCCTCTTCTGTTCATCCTGTATTCCTCATTCTAAATACAGTTTCCCTGTCTTATGCAAATGTAAAAACTGAATGTTTTCTATATTTGCATAATTTGGGAACATGGAGTATCTCTATACCTCAGGAATGATTTCCAGTTCTGTCACGCCCTACCTTTTCCTCATTTGAATTTACCATTTCACTGGAAATATGCATACTACCATTCAAATGTTTGGGGTCAGTAAGATTTTAAAAAGAAACTAATATTTTATTCAGAAAAGATGCATTAAATTGATCAAAAGTTTAGTTAAGACATTTGTCATGCTACTGAACACTGGAGTAATGATGCTGAAAATTCAGCTTTGCCATCACAGGAATAAATGACCCTTAAAATCAAATCAAATAGAAAACAGCCATTTTAAATTGTAATCATTTTAACTGTGATTTTGGTCAAATAAATTCAGCCTTGGTGAGCATAAGAGACTTCTTTCAAAAACACACTTACCGACCCCAAACTTCTGAACAGTAGAGGAACTAACCGAAAGTTAAATGGGTTGTGCATGATAATTTCCTTCCTTTTTCTGCCACTTAAGAGCCAAGCAAGCTGTTGTTGGTACTGTGCCTTTAATGTTTTTATTAGTGCTGACAAATCGATTAATCACATCTAACATAACTTTGTGTTTTCATAATATGTGTGTGTATATCACATTTATGTTTTGTGCGTGCCTGTGTATATGTGTACATATACACACACACACACGCACAGACATGAATATGATATATATATATATACACATTTAATAATATAAAAACATGTACATGTCACACACATTTTTGTAAACACAACTTTTATGTTAGATTGATCACAGCAGTTTTTCATGTGTAAATGACCTTAGTTATAATTGGCTAACGCTCATGTACCGGCATGACTTTATTTCCTTCTTTCAGACCTTCTCTGTCTATCTCTCTCTGTTGAATCTGGTCTCACTTACACACAGTCAGAGATGGGGGTTGATGGAGAATCGGGGTGGCGCGTGGTGATGACATCACAGACTGTGGGGCGGCTGCCTGCCCTTTCCCGGCCTGCGAAGATGACCCAACGACAAACAACAACAGAAACAGCCAATCAGAGCTCTGATATGCACTATGGGAAAGGCCAGAGGCTGAAGCGGGGCAAGAGGAGGGAGAGGAGCAGGAGTACAGTATGACATAGTGCGTGAATGAAAATCAAAACGAAGGAAGGCAGTGGAGATGGAAGGAAATATATGTATATGTCCGAAAGAAGAATGAAGGATAGTAAAAGAATAGTGGAAAAGATGCAGTGATAGAAAAGTATAGATGGAGCGTCTAGATGCAATAAACTGATGAAGAGGGGATCCAGGATAGATCATGATGAGGAAATAGTAGATAAGGTGAGCTGATGAATGTTTTGAACATTTCAGGAGGAGTTTGGAGGGGGACAGGGGGCATGGGTCATATGTCAGGACAAGCACACAGAAATCACATTAGGAGACTATAATCATCAAAAATCAAAAGCAAAGCCATGCGCAGAAGACTCTGGCAGCAGCGATGGATCTGCATGTGTGCGAGTAGTCGTAGCAGATGCTTGCACAAAGTGTCCTTTTAAAAGCATGCTATGACAGGAAGTGATCTCACACACAGGGTGATCCCACATTTAGTAATTTGCCTTTGACAGCTGCGAACAACTCATGCAGTGGCCATGTTGTTTATGAATATACACACATACACATACGATCACTCTCGATTCATCCCACTCACATGACACACACAAGCTCATTGCCAAAGACCATGTGCGTCGCTAAAATCTACCCAGGATTCAAGAATCAAACTGACAGAAGCTAAACGCCTTCTAAGGAATCCTTCTTGTTATTTTTTTTTTCCTTTCGTAGGCCCTCCAGGATCTCCCCCAAAACAGCTGTTACTTAACATTTTGGTCTTTACTATGGCGGTCAATTGATTAAAATATTGGGATTAACCACATAATTCTGTCATTGTTAATACAGTCAGATGCAGTCACATTTTTCTCACTCACAAAAAACAAGAGTGTATTTCTTAAATGATATTAAAATGCACAGGAACTGCAAACATATGATAAAATTTGAAATAATTAATTCATAAAACAACTTGAAACATACTTTAATGGATGTAATGTCACATTAGTGAAGGTGTAGACTGGTGTACGCATTAATGCATTGATATTTATCTTATTGAGCATCAATGATAATTGAATTTCACCATACTACAAATGAAAATGATGTTACATTTGCAAAATATGCCATCTGGATTTCATTTAAAATTAAATTACCAATAAAGAGGGTCTTTGTTGAGAGGGTCCATCTTATTTTTTCACATAAAAGCGGCCGCAGTCATTTCTAAATTGAATGTGTCCGGCTTCTGGTCTCATTCTCTTCCAGTTATTTTTAGCTGTAAAAAAGGATTGTTATTCTGCTTGACATTGCAAACTGGTATATCTTACCATATTGTTTTTATGTATTGTCATAATTCTAAACTCTGGTTTGTAACGAAAATAGTTTTACCGTTTACTGCATTTTGTTTAGCAGCTAATGAATAAATCGGAAGTCTCACATATTCACAGAAAATAGTTTACAACTGCAGAGCACAATAAGGTGGATAATGACTTGGAGTTCAAATCTGTTTAAAAAATAACTCAGAACAGAATTAATAATTTAAGTCAAATTATATAAATGCTAAAAACTATAATTAAAAAAAATATGAGCATTTACTCACAACAGTTCAATTTGAAAACCCCATGTACAATCCAGTGTATAAAATATCAATAAGTACTGATGTAGTACAATGTATCGTTTTTTATTGTCAATATTTCTTTGAAAGGAGACAAGTTTACCAGTATTACGGATTCACTCTAACATCAGGATGAGAACCTTTCCAATATGGTTTTATTCCACAAATATTCTGCTTTCAAAATATTTTTTAAATTTTCTAATCCAATCAGCTGTTCCGAGGGAGATGCAAGTGGCACCTGTGATCACTTACCTTTCTGTCATCTAAAAATGAAGAATTTTCTTGTTATCTACGCTCTTTTGTAAACCTTCACACCTTAAAGCTGAGCCCAACCTTCCATACCTGGTTGCCGGACATTCGTGGCCCCCACAAAGCTGATGAGGGTGACATCAGAGGCGCCCCCAGATTCAAGGGGAATGGGGTGCACACGGAAATGCTCCAGCATGTCAAAAATGGACTGGAACCAGAGATGCTGCACACGACACTGTCCATCCTCGTTCAGGGAGAGACGCAAGTGCTAGGAGGAAAATGCCAGAGCAGAAGGAAGAGGTTTTTATTTCTATTTATCAAGAATCCTGAATTTACAAAAAAGAAATTTATACTTTGATTCAGCAGGGAAGCATTAAATTGATCACAAGTGAGAGTAAAGACATTTTTAAAGACATATTGATCACTTGAGGGGCTCTGTAAATAAGAGAAATCTAAGCAACATCAAACCGTCTGAATGTTAAATAAGCATCACCTCACGCATTTACCTTTGCTTTGCCCTGGAAGTTGAAGGTGAGGACATACTCTCCGCGCCGTGTCTCACTTTGCCGCACAAGGAACACTCCATGGCTGGCCATCCCACCCGCCAGCACCAGCTGGGCTGCCTTAAGACGGGAGAGTGTGCCGTGGAACCACTGACACTCACTCAGAGGATGTTCCACAGTCTCTGACACAGAACCTTCAGAGAACAGGAACGACCCTGAGAAAAAAAACGGATAAACTCCTCTTATCTTGATCTATCAAAAGAGTAAGAGTTAAGTTCAGTAACTGAGATGTATTTTTACCTGAATTTTGGGTTACTGCATTGTAAAACCATAATATATATATATATAATTTCCAAAACGACAATAAAAACACTGTTACTAAATAATAATATATTGGAACAATATCATCAGGTGTACATCATCGTCTGCCTGCGTGCGTGCACTATTTTTTATAATCATAACCATACTTTCACCCGAACGGAATGATTAAAACAAGTTAAAATGGGTAAATCTTCTACAAATATTTTTTTTAATCTTCGATTTCTTTTTTGACAGTCCAGTTTGTAAGAAATCATAGTCTGCTCCGATCCAACTTCCACTCCAATATACAGTGGGTACGGAAAGTATTCAGACCCCCTTGAATTTTTCACTCTTAGTTATTTTGCAGCCATTTGCTGAAATCATTTAAGTTCATTTTTTCCCTCATTATTGTACACACAGCATCCCATATTGACAGAAAAACACAGAATTCTTGACATTTTTGCACATTAATTATCACATGGTCCTAAGTATTCAGACCCTTTGCTGTGACACTCATATATTTAACTCAACTGCTGTCTATTTCTGATCATCCTTGAGATGGTTCTCCACCATCATTTGAGTCCAGCTGTGTTTGATTATACTGATTGGACATGATTAGGAAAGCCACACACCTGTCTATATAAGACCTTACAGCTCACAGTGCATGTCAGAGCAAATGAGAATCATGAGGTCAAAGGAACTGCCTGAAGAGCTCAGAGACAGAATTGAATCTGAGATTATTTCTGAATTCCTTCTGACGCCAGTGAACCCAAGGTGCTTCGTGTGCCTTGCCACTGCTATGATGTAATAAACTTCATTTTTGAGATCTTCGACATCCACATCATTTTTTCTTACAAGTTCTTAAAACACACCACACGTGCTTATTCTGTGCATTTTGAGCACTTTTTTGTGAAATCTTTTTTATTTTTGTCCATCAAAAGTGCGCTTTCACTTTCACTGAGCGTCAGCAGCGCAGCAAATATAGACTCTCCGCCGAAACCCCCGCTTCAGTGCTGCTCACGCGACGCTCCTGCTTGATGCTCGCGCGCTGCTGCTGCTCGCGGTGTGAACGCACTCATTGATTAACATGCATGCCGAAAAAAAATACACGCTGCCACTTGAGGTGTGAAACAGCCGTTAGGGTAATGTAGATTTCATTATGATCCATGGCAAAATATGTGTGTGTTTAGTGTAGTACTGTACCTGTGGCATCAGGAGTTTCAGCAAAAGGTGTGCCAAGACCGCCTCCGCCCCCACCAAGCAGTCGACTGTCTGATTCGTCAAGAGGGGCACGGGGTGGTAACTCAGGGGGTAGAGGCTCCAGCTGGGGAGAACCACTAACTCCACCATAGCACACTAGAGTGAAAACATCAAATACCTGATTCATCACCATCTGCAGTTACTGCTAAATATCTGTATTCAATTTTACTGCTATATATAAATATTTCAATTATGGATCAGCTGTTTTTAATACTTCTGTTCAATCACAGAATCACCAGTTGGAGATTTGTAGGCTCATTCTAACACTGCCAAACATCATGTAAGCACATGTCCTAGTACACATACTGTCCATCATGGTGACATCATCTCCAAACGCTTACCTTGAGACAGGCGGTCGCTGAATTCTGGCGTTACACTGAGAGCACTGCCACACACTCCCTCAACATCCTCTTGCTCACTGATGAGAAGGGTCAACGAGTACATTTGAGATCATTGCTGAGTTTTGATTGTCGCACGGTGTCATATACAAGCAAGCAAACTACTAAGAACTCGAACCTTTCCAAACACAAAGTGCTTTCTCTTTTTAATGATTCAAAACACAAAGACCTACCTTAAACAAATGGCATTTCTGATGTCACTGAGCCAAGCTCTCATCTGAACCGCATCTCTGGTCTCGATCACGTACTGCGCCTGACCTTCCAACTGAGAAAAACAAGAAGAGATCAAATGTGCAGATGTTCAATGCGTTTCGTTTTCAATGATTAGGATCTTTGAGATGGGTGCAGCAACACAGGATGCAACTAAATGCAAAGTGAACTACAATCACAGATATGAATAAAATACTAAAAATGCCCCAAAGTTCTTTATTAGATTACCTTTATTTAAAAGGTTATTTAGTGATTGTGACCATTTGTCACACATGAGATTCATTAAATGTGTTTCCTTCTGTAATTTATCTATAAAACAAAAGTACAGTTTTGCCTAATTTATATGATGAAAATGAATTATCAACAAAGCTCTGCAACTACGGCATGCATACTTGTTAATTAGACATCAGATGACAGTGGCAACACTGTCTATGATGCATATGAAAGTAAAGTTAAGGTAAAGTTCTTGCATCATTATTGAAGATTTGACTAACTACTGTAGACAAAAAAAAAGGTGTTCTGACGTACCTGTAGAAGGAAGGTGTTCTCTTTGTCTGGCACCTCTATAGCTGTAGTACTCCTTACATCAACAATAGAGCCGCATGGGACAGTCAGTCTGGCCTTGGAGGACTGGAAGTATTCAAATATGCCAAACTTAATTAAACTAGTCACCTGGTACTTTTAATTATATATATTATTTATATAACATGTATAAAATATGTGTAAATATGTATGGAAGTAAAAATGTACACATAATTTACATTTAGCAGAAATCCTGTAACTCACCTTAGGCGGGATGTAAAACTCCAGGAAATACTCCATCCCTCCATCCACTCCATCCTTATCTCGTTCTTTCAGAACCAGACGGCACTTGTGCCAACGCATACCCCGTACGATTGCAGCTCCCCCGGTGGCCGCGGGATGCCCTGACGCCGTGCTGTCCGTGCCGTGGTGCAGCAGCCCAAAGGAAAAGCCTGGGAAACCATGAGTGCTGGCGAACTCGTCCGAAGACGAGCACACGGTCACACCTCCCTCCCGTACAAGTCTACCCATCTTCCTGGAGGCACTGATGCTGCTTGGTGGTAGTGCCGAGGGGGACACGACCGATGAAGGTGGAGCTGCGGAGGACAACGTCGGCGGGGGTGAACGAGACAGTCGCAGTTTCTCCAACCGGTGACTCCATTTCTCCTTTTCCCCATCGCCGTTGCTCCTCCGCCAGTCACGGGCCTCGGAAAATGAAAGGGAGGTGGCGCTACTGGAGGATGATGGGGGCAATGAAGAGGACGACGAGTGAGGGAGGGAGAGGGGAAGGGAGAGAGACACAGGGAGAGAAGAGGGAACACCCTGCGAGCCAGAGTTCCTCTTGCAATCCTGCAGGCCTGTAGTGTAGCTGTAACTGGAAGGAAGAGGGTTGACGTTCCCCACGCTGCAGTTCTGAGGGGAGTCGCTGGAGGAGCTGCGCCAGTGCAAGATGCCTCGCACGCTCCCTCTGACACTGCGCCCCACGCTGCGCAGAGAGAACCGCTTTTTTAGTTTATTTTTGGAGTGACCCCCAATGGGTGTCCCATTACCCTTTGACCCAGAATTTGCTGGTGTGCCAGAGGAGTTGGGGCATGTCAGAGTCTGGCTGAGATCGGCTCTTTCCGAGGTCAATTCACTCTCGCCCTCATCGTCCCTTTCTACTATGTCCGTCTCCACAACCTCTCCAGCCACGGGACCAGCCCAGCTGTCGTCCTCTTCCTCCAGGTCATTGTAGCCAGATGGATTGTGTTTGACTGCAGTTCCCCTCTCCTCCCTCCGCCCATTATTCCCGCCCATAGAGGAAGAGCACGACGAAGAAGAGGATGGTGGGAGAATCTGCGTATGAGCATACAAATCCTGAAATGCTCCTGTATTCTGGAATTGTTCTGTGCCGCGGCCATCCTGGATCAAGACCGGTTTGGGCATAGCCCGTGTGTGAGTGGGTGGGCAGGGGGTGGAGGCCTCTGGCGGCAGCAGGGATGGAGACGCTGCATCCTCCTCCAGCGACGTAACATCCGATTGGGCGACCCAGTTCACTGTTCCTTCCCTACCGACGCCTGTCCCTTCGAGCTCGCTCTCGAAATGACGAACAAATCTGTCGGTGAAGCGCTGGCAAAAAGCAGCTGCAGAATCAGGGGAGTAATGCGGGTTCTCCAGCAGGAAGGCCCGGAAATGGCGGGCGAAGTCACCGGCGGCTACCCGGGCATGGAGCTCACAGAACTCGGTCCAACTAAGGCAGGGAGATGGAGACGGCGTGGGTGTGTCAGACAATGACGACAAGGGCTGACTGGCAGGAGCTGGAGGTGGCAAAGGTGGGGGTCTCGTTGAGAGGGGCAACAGTGAAGGAGATGGAGGAGAAGGCGATGGAGATGGAGAAGGTGGAAGGGGGGATGAATTTGCTGCAGCCCGTGGGCTGGGCGGGGTTAAAAGGGAACCGTTCATGACTGACTAATAGGTGACCAATTTAAGACCAAACAATCATCAAAGATGTCAGGATCGTTGCGGTCTATGTGCGTATGGGAAACGCGCAATCTGCTCATCAGGCTACGGTTTCACAATTAAAATGAATTTGGAAAACCTGACCAAAAAATGTGGCCTGACAGTGATTGGTAATTGTCTTCCCCCATTTTTAAAAGAAAAAAGAAAAGAAAAAGAAAAGATATAAAGCTGTAATGTCAATGTTTGGTACTCTAAAATAGCTCACATTCTACACAAAATAATATGTGTAAATGTATGTATGGCGAGTAACAACATAACATTTGGCCGGCTGAGCTGATGTTAGTTCTCAGGTGGCCTCCAGTTTTAAGGCTTTGCGAGGATCCTGTGGTAGGGATTTGTGACCTAAATGATGAATACAGAGAGGAAAAAAGTGATTAATTATTTTGAAGCTATTTTCGAAAAATTATAACAGTATATAACCACAAAGCAAACCATTCAAACAAAGAAATTGTGATGCTTTACCCAAAAATGAAACTTCTGTCATTTACTCTCAAAACTGTATGAGGAAATGGCAGATAATGACAACTTGTCATTCTTATCAAAGTGAATAGAATACGAGGCTGTCTTTCTGCCTAGCATCTCTTCCACAGAAGAAAGTCATACAGGTTTCGAAACATCAGAAAGTGAATAAATATTAGAGATTTTGTGTTTGTGTATGTGAATTATAAATATAAATATAATATATATATATATATATATATATATATATATATATATATATATATAAACTGTGATATTTATAATTTGTAAGTGTGTCGCGCATGAAACAGTGAAGCGTTGTTTTGCTTTGATTAGTGAGACCCAATTCTCCACCTGATATTTGAAGAACGTGCTACACGCTAATTTCTCATTTATTTTTTTATAAAGCCAAATATAACCAACAACTGGAGCTTCTTGAGCATTTGAACTCAAACTAATCGAAACCAAGACAATGAAATGAAATCAGTTTAAACGATTTACACCAGCGGAAGATGCAGAAATGATGCTCATGAGCCCCGATGATAACTCACCATCTTCAGGCCAGTGTGTAACTCGAAGCCGGTGCAGTTAACGTTAGCTGTAAAGAAAGACACATCAAGCGTAAAGGCCTGTCAGTTGTAGTTACGATAAAATTATGTGATATAGGAAACCATACAAGGTCTAACAACTCGTTTCGCCTAGTTAACGTTAGTTGTCTGACATAAATTTAATTGTCATAATACGCTCTCACGCTGATAATGTCAACACACCAAGCTAACTCGGACTAGCCAGTTAACTTTAGCTCATAAAACGGTGGCTAGTTTGCTATAGATCTTAAGCAATAGAAAGAAATGTCATATTAACTCACCTTTTTGCACAAAAGACGCAATTTGTTCTCTGGCGTGAGTGAAATTCGAAAAAGTTTAAGTGCAAATATTGAACTAGCCTGGTGCTAACTAGCTAACCCAGCACTGCTAATAAATTATCAAGTTTGAGCTGCTGGTCAGCTAGCTGGCTGTATTGCTAAGCAGGCAGTTTGCCTGCCTATGTTAACATTAGTATTCATTCCTCTCCGTCTAGCTGCCCCCCGTCGATGCTAAACTTATTGATGAATCATGGTATCTATTTATTTATAAAGGCTTTACAACTGCTCTTGTGGCAGGTATATGGATATTTCTCTGCCTGCTGTCCCAATCAGTCTCTCGCGATATAGTGGGAGAGGGTGTAGGTTGGGGGGACAGGGAGTGTTGGAGAAGGGGGATTTTCAATGGGAGAAAAAAAAACTGAGGAAGAGGGATGTGCACTTTTTGGAGGAGCCACATTGGACAGTTGTGTAAAAAAAAAAGTAAATCTAGGTTGGATGTTGCTGTGGCTGGCTGATGGCTGAGTAATATGTTTGGAGGCTGATACATTGAACTTGAGATTATTATTTGATTATTCCAGTGAGAGAATCTGTGCTCACTGAAAGCCATTCGCGGACTGGAAATGAAAAATGGGATGTGAAAAATGTACAAAATTATCAAATTTTAAACTTTACTTTTCCATAAAGTACCTATTGTGAGTTAAAAAATAATATTACGTTTTTTAACTGTAAAAATCATAATAATTAATTATATATTTATAACAACTGATATCATTTGTTGCTTTAAATTTCTTTTTTTTTTTTTCTTGAACTATCTGAATATTTCTGGTTCTCTGGTCATTATAAGTGAAAGGCAAATTTACTGCTTGCAAATAGCAGAGATAAGCAGTGACTACAAGCATCCAGCAACACATTTTCCAAAATGATCAAAAGTATTCATAGAAAAAAATAATAATAATAAAATCCTACATGTAAAAAAAAGGTCACCAATTACAGCATTGAAGAACGACTTGAATATAAATGGGCAGAATCAGTCTACTTCTCAAGACTATGGTTAAAACAACAAAACACTATTAAATCTTTCAAGAAAATGTCATAGACTGTCTAATGTTGAGACTATAGTATCAAGTTTGAGCGGTTATTTTATTTTACTTCAAAAGTTACAATAATTGTAACTGTCCTGCAACATATAGGGCCTGTTTGCTTCAACACCCCCTTTTACATCCTGTGTATTCAGAGTCTGTTTCTGTGTGGCGAAAAAATTTGCAGGAAAACGTTAATAGAAGATTGTGTTTATTTTTGTTTACATCAAAGAGGCAAAGAATTTGCATCCTAAAGAGCAATAAAGCACAAACATTCATCAGACTTAAGTATCCAATGCGACTACTTTGTTCTTTTGCAGTCTGCTTTTACTTTTCAGTCTCCCAGCAGAGCAGCACACACACACACACAAAAAAAAAAAACGTCCAATACTTTTCCACAAAATACCATATTCTTTAGCCATAGTTTATAATGACGATCTTGTATCATCATCAAAAATCAGTAGGGTTCTGTGACTGCTGTGCATTCATTGTTAAATATTATAATCAAAGAATGTTTCTGTGTAACAAAAGACTCATGATCTAAGCCATAGCATTTTTTCTTTAATAATTATGAGACCATCTATGACATTTTCTTGGGATATTTAAGAATATTGTTGTGATTTAACCCTGTCTCAGTAGACTGAGTAAACACAGTAGACTGATTTTGCCTAATTTATACCTATGTAAGTGCATCATGGTTAAGTTCTACAATTACATTGCTAAGCAGTTAATTATTTTTTTAACCCATAGGATTTTTATTGTTGTTGTTGCTATTATTTAATATTATTAGGCCTGTATTTACAAATCACTTTTGATCAGCCTGGAAAATGTGCAGCTGGCTGCTTATTATCACTGCGCTAAAAATCAGTATGCTATTTGCAAGCAGTACTTGCTCCTCCTTTAACTTTTTATGACCAGAGAGATACAGTTCAGATAGTCTGAGAATGGTTGAGAACAGTGCAACAGGAATTACATGAAACAAATGAGCACAGCTGTTATAAACCATCTTGGGTTGAACTTTTAAAAAAATATTTATTATTACTTTTTGCAGCTAGTTTTTTTTAACTCTGATATGATGCTGTATTTAAATCTTATAAAATCCCCATGTTAACAAACTGAACCGTAAAGTTAAACAGTTTAACCTTGTGCTGTTTTACTCTACGTGACCATAGATTATATTATATTTATGTTTAATTATATATATTTATGGACAGTAAATATGGTCAGTCTACTGACCACATACTTTTTTTTATGGATAATGTCTTAGAAAACCTTTGCAAATTTAAATGCAATAGCCACTAATATAAAGCTGGATTTGTGTGCGATTAGAAGTTGTGAAATTACAAGTAGCCCTAATCATATTTTTTGTAATCGATAAATAATCTCTCATGTTTTAGTTTGAGATAATATTTTCCTTCATGAACAGTGTGACTAAAGAAACATGTCTCACTTTTTATTTAGTGCCCTCTATTGACTACAGCTTAACATTACAAGATATTTTACATTGAAGACTAGCCTTCCATTTCTAACCAGGAAAACAACAGTTCTCACGAAAAACATTATAGGCTCATTGAAAAATAGCAACATTTGATCTAAATATTAATCTTGTATTTTTTCAACCATTGCGTATACGTCAGTATAGAACCGGAATTTATGGCTGTCACTCATTTCTGACTGAATGATAACGATATCTGAATTATATTTTTATGTAAAATCGAGATTATAGAGCAGGGTTGCGTCAATCACCATTTTATAGCCTAATGTTTTCATTTGTATTATTATACATTTTATTATTTAAATTTAATTAATTCATACACATCATTTTAGGATTGACTAACAGAAATAAATCCAAACTAGGTTTTAGTTACAGAAAATGACTGAAAGTTAAGCGTGCTAAAACATAACTTAGTCTACGACTAGTATGTTTACACAAGTTGATAATGACTAGAATCTGAGCGAATGCTCCAGAAAGCGCATGACGATGCCCATAGGCTCCCATAGAAAGGCATGGGCGGAACTGTCTGGGTTTTTCGCCTTTCATTGGTCAGCTCAGCACGAGTGTTCCAGAACTGTTTAGAACATGAATGTGGGCAACGCTCTCTGTATATAAACAGCATGGCAGGTTCAGGGCATCAGTGTTTCAACAGAACTTACTTGAGTTACGGCGAAAAGAAAGAAATTGGCGACAGTTTTCGAAATAAAAATAGTCAGTTGAAGAATCTACTCGAGGCCTACTACCACTACTAAAGCATTTTAAAGTAAGCATATTTTGTATTTCTCTTGTTGCGGTTTTCTTTATTGATTCATAAGCTACTACTAATTGTGTACCTTCTTCTGTTTTGTCTTATCAAGTAAATCTGTTTCCAGTACCAATATTGATACTCTTTAAACATTAGTGCTCTATAAAATAATTAAAAAAGTATTACATATACAGGTATTTGTTTATTCAGTCTAGGGACGTTCCTGTTTCATATTGCTGTTCATTTATTTTTGCCTGATGCTTTTTTTTGTACAATATCTAAATGTTTTATTTAATAATAAACATTTATTTGATTTCTATTTTCTTACAGAAATCTGTTAACTACCTGTGGGAAAAAAAATGTCATCAGCAAAAGGAGTAGCCATTGGAATTGACCTGGGCACCACCTACTCCTGTGTCGGGGTGTTTCAGCATGGAAAAGTGGAGATCATCGCAAATGACCAGGGAAACAGAACAACACCCAGCTATGTTGCCTTCACTGACACTGAGAGGCTCATTGGAGATGCAGCTAAAAACCAGGTGGCCATGAACCCCAACAACACCGTGTTTGATGCCAAGAGGCTGATTGGCAGGAAGTTTGATGATCCAGTAGTGCAGTCTGACATGAAGCATTGGTCCTTCCAAGTCATCAGTGATAGCGGAAAGCCAAAGGTTCAAGTCGAATACAAAGGAGAAAACAAGACATTTAATCCTGAAGAAATTTCCTCAATGGTCCTGGTGAAGATGAAGGAGATTGCTGAAGCTTATCTGGGGCAGAAGGTGACAAATGCAGTTATCACAGTTCCTGCCTATTTCAATGACTCGCAGAGGCAAGCCACTAAAGACGCTGGAGTGATCGCTGGGCTCAATGTCCTCAGAATCATCAACGAGCCCACGGCTGCAGCCATCGCCTACGGCCTTGACAAAGGCAAAGGAGCAGAACGCAACGTCCTGATCTTTGACCTGGGTGGAGGCACCTTTGACGTGTCCATCCTGACCATTGAAGATGGCATCTTTGAGGTGAAGGCCACAGCCGGAGACACTCATCTGGGTGGCGAGGACTTTGACAACCGCATGGTGAATCACTTTGTAGAAGAATTCAAGAGGAAGCACAAAAAGGACATCAGTCAGAACAAGAGGGCACTGAGGAGGCTGCGGACAGCGTGCGAGCGAGCCAAGAGAACCCTCTCCTCCAGCTCTCAGGCCAGCATTGAGATCGACTCGCTGTACGAGGGCATCGACTTCTACACGTCCATCACCAGAGCACGCTTTGAAGAGATGTGCTCAGACCTCTTCAGGGGAACACTTGAGCCTGTGGAGAAAGCCCTGAGAGACGCCAAGATGGACAAGTCTCAGATCCATGATGTCGTTCTGGTTGGTGGATCCACAAGAATCCCAAAGATCCAGAAGCTCCTGCAGGATTTCTTCAACGGCAGGGACTTGAACAAGAGCATCAACCCAGATGAGGCAGTGGCTTATGGTGCAGCGGTGCAAGCCGCCATCCTCATGGGTGACACATCTGGAAATGTCCAGGACCTGCTGCTGCTGGATGTTGCGCCGCTATCTTTGGGCATCGAGACTGCAGGTGGAGTCATGGCGGCCCTCATCAAACGCAACACCACCATCCCCACCAAACAGACCCAGACCTTCAGCACCTATGCAGACAACCAGCCCGGTGTCCTGATCCAGGTGTATGAGGGAGAGAGGGCCATGACAAAAGACAACAACCTGCTGGGTAAATTTGAGCTCACAGGAATTCCACCTGCACCACGTGGTGTCCCGCAGATTGAAGTGACCTTTGACATTGACGCCAATGGAATCCTGAATGTGTCAGCGGTGGATAAAAGCACTGGAAAAGAGAACAAGATCACCATCACCAATGACAAGGGCAGACTGAGCAAAGAGGAGATCGAGAGAATGGTGCAGGACGCAGACAAGTACAAAGCTGAAGATGATCTGCAAAGAGAGAAGATTGCTGCCAAAAACTCCCTGGAGTCTTACGCCTTCAACATGAAGAGCAGTGTGGAAGATGAGAACCTGAAAGGCAAGATCAGCGAGGATGACAAGAAGAAAGTTATTGAGAAATGCAACGCCGCCATCAGCTGGCTAGAGAACAACCAGCTGGCTGATAAAGAGGAGTATGAACATCAGCTGAAGGAGCTGGAGAAAGTCTGCAACCCAATCATCACTAAGCTTTATCAGGGTGGGATGGCAACAGGAAGCTGTGGGGATCAGGCACGTGCCAGCTCAGGGGCTGGTGCTCAGGGGCCCACTATTGAGGAGGTGGATTAGGTATGAGATGGGCAATGGGACTGATTTTTAAGTTAAATTTTATTTTGTTAAGTTCCTTTGTAATTCAATTTACATCATTTATTATATTTATAAGAGTATTATAAGATTTTTTTGGACCATTTATTTGGACATTATGTGGTGCACTCCTGATTTTATTTTTCCTGTGGTACTGTATGCTGCTTTTATATGTTTTTGAGTACAATATTATAATATATTATTGAATATATAATAGTTTTGCCAGTATTGCAGTTGGAAGATTTCTTATGAAATATGCATTTTTGTCAGGAATATCTACTCTGTTAAAATGCATGTTAATGTAAAATGATGTTATTTAATGTTTCATTTGCATGTTAAGAAATGAATAGAATTAACATACTGACTGTTGAAATGTGTATATTCCAGTTGTAGGCATTAATATTGTGCGATATTCTATTTGAAAGTGTCCATTAAGACTGTTAACTTTATAAGGTTTGTCTCTTAACATTTTCAATAAACTATATTAAAAAAAACTGTTATAATAGACTGTTTGGTTTTTTTTATGTTTCTTGTCTAAAATTGATTAACTCTAAACATGTTATATTGTAGGACTAGGCACACTCTATTTCCAATGATATCATACAGTTATACATTATTATATAGTTTTTCAACAGTGAAATACATAAAGGCTGTAAATAAATAGCTTACAAAACATGAAGGTAAAATAACATTTTATTGATCCCGAAGTGTGGTTACAGCAGTCTGGGTGAAAGAGACAAACTACTGTAATAGTAATAATAAAAACAAACCAAATAGAAACAAATTAACTGAATTATAATTAACTGAGATACTTATACAGTCTCATCCACATGTCATTCTAAACTGTGTAACTTTCTTCTGTGGAACATTTTGATATGTCTTCCTTTTTTTGGTCCATACAATGGAAGTCAATGGTCGCTAAAACTATTTTCTTACCAACATTCTTCAATATATATATAGTCCTTTTTGGAGTGTATCAAAAAAGTTCATCAAAGTTGTCCTAAGACAAGAACGGGTATTGTTTCATGTAAAACTTTGATGAAAGATTTATATATATACACACACACACACCACTTTGACACTGAACTTCATGTAAAACTAATCCATATAAAGTGAGTGGTTTATGTTTTCTTGGCACACTTTAGAATTTTTTGAATGAAAGCGCAATTCAATATCACCACCTCTAGGTGTCGCCCTCACTTTTTCACTCCCACAAAAACGTAAGGAGGAAATATCGTGATTCACAGATAGAAAATGAGCCGCAGTACTCTTCTGAAAATTGGATATATATTCATTGCTGGGCAGTTACTCTCTAAATTTTCATGATTCTGGAATATTGCTTAGTTATTTAAGCCTTCGAGTAACTCATTAGTTTAATTATAGGCAAACGTCATCAGTCTCAAAGGAACAGATGTTTCTGTGGAATTAATGGCTTAGTCTTTAATCATAAGATGGCTGATTGCAGTGCATGTAATCACATCTTTCTTGTCTTAGGTATTAATTAGGTTCTAAGCGCAGTAGCCCTTATCTAAAACAGCTTAAGCTTGTGAAAGATTTTGTAGTCTGGCTGTGGCTCATAAGGACACACAGAAGTCTCTGTCTTTTTAGTTTTTATTCCAAAGGTCCTGAACTTCACAATAATGACACTAGGCCCCGGGTGTCATGGAATCTGGCATTTGGTGACAGAAACAATGTAGTAAAAACATTAGTAGTAAAATATGATGATTAAAGGAATTACAGGAAAGAGAATTGCTATGTCATATAGCTTTTTTATTGACCTCCACTTGAATGAACTTGCATCAAAAAGGTTAAATGTGAGTTGGGAGTCGATTTTACTCCCATCCTTATCGGGTTCTCAAGTGCTATTACCATCACAGTCAAACAAGAGGCTTGCCAAGCAGACAGAGACACAAACTCTCTCATCAGATTTAGCAATTATGTTATTTGATTAGATTGTGTAATTAAATCCCACAAGGTTAAGTGTGCACTACATCTCGTTGTCTCCACTACTCTTTTCTTTGTGACATTTAACCTTCACTGGTCTCCCTGAGTCCGCATTTTTGCATTAGGTACATTTAAATGAACTGTTCATTGAAGCCTTATTGCCTATTTGTTAGCAGCAGGGATTCATTTAGCAAATCTCAAGCTTTATATGGGGGCTCTCTGAGGTAAAGTAATGAAATTGCTGGTTATTACTGTTCAGTCATTTATAACGATTTTAAGTCTCTTATGCTCACCAAGGCTGCATTTATTTGATTAAACTATATTGTAAAATTAAAATTTGAAAAAAGTGTTTTCTTTAATATATTAAAATAGTCTTCGGGATGTCAAAGCTGAATTTTCATCATCATTACTCCAGTCTTGTCTCATGATCCTTCAGAAATAATTCTAATATGATGATTTGAGAAACATTTCTTGTTATTATCAATGTTAATCACAGTTGTGCCGCTTATTTTGTGGAAACAGATACATTTTTCAGGATTCTTTGAAAAATAGAAAATTCAAATGCAAATGTTTTGTTTTGGCTGCCCCTGCCCCACCCTCCCCTCTGTCTGGCTGCATTATGATTCAGATTCACTTTTCAACATATTACTTGATTTTCTTATCATACTCATCTGTTACACAAACCATGTCCTTATGCTATGTTAGTGTCTCTGCCGTTTCTTCTCGTTAATCCCCCCCCCCCCTTTTTTTTAGAAAGCATGTATTTGACCGGTCCCTCCCTCCTTTTTCCGTCTGCTGCACAAAAACATCCCTTTTCCACGGTCTAAACCAGTCTGTCTCTGCAGCTCCCACCTGATTCACTCACTCACTCACACACACACTTTTTCTCACTGTCTCCAATCCTCCAGAGCCTTTTAATAATGCATGCTGTTATAAAATTCAAATGAGATAGATTTTTAAACACACCAGTGAAGTCTGAGTGCACTCTTTCTCCCTACATCCTGCTGCACCCCGGTCCCTCACTGTCCTCCTCGCCTAACAACCGTTGCCCTGGAAACTGTAACGTCCTGGAGACATATGCGGTAGTGTGAGCAAGGAAACAGCGGAGAGGGAAAGAGTGTGTGATCCAACAACAGGCACACTGAGTCTCAAATGACAGAGGAGTGGCATAATGAGGGACAGTTTATTCACTGGACTCATTGATGCATAATCAGTGTTGGTACAGAGCAGAATAAGGATCAATACTGCAAGTTCAGATACAGCGTACATCACATATTATTGTTCCAGAGCAATTCATTAAGGCATGCACAGGCAAATCTGCACAAAATCAGGATTATATTAGCAACAAGAGTTATCATAATGCCTCTCAAATCATTTCATGTCACAGAGGAATCTTGAGTAGCACGGGTGCTTTCACCAAAATGCTGATGAATTTGTAAGGGAATGTTTAATAAACAAAAATAACGGATTTATTCTTCACACCAAAAAAACAGAACAGCAGGTAGGACTTGTAACCTAGAGAATTGGACTCGGCTGTTGTCTTCAGAATTATATTATGCAGCACAGGCAATCTGTTATCAGTAAGCAAACATGCTTGAATAAGGTCAAAGTTTCAGCAAAGCACAAATGGCATAGAAAACAAATGGGCTGATTTCAAAATACATACCAATAAAAATACTCAAGAGTGAAAAAATTTGTGAAAGCACTGCAGTGTTAACAGTCAAGAGTTGCATTACGAACACTGTTCATGTCCATCAAAGAGATTCAGATTACCAGATGCAATTGGAAGCGGTACAAATATGTACAGACACATATATACATATACATATATATATATACAAGCATGAATTAGAAGCGGGTTAAATACAAATAGCTGAGCAGAACAATTCAAGAGAAGAAAAGTCAAGCTGGCATTCACTGACTGCACGCAGTTGGATCAAATGGGCATGCTAAGGTCATTCCTATTTGAGTGGTGTGGATGTGAAGTGGCCGCAAATGGAAATGTATCAAACAGACAACTGTAGCTGGTTCTGTTGACGCAAGCCTAGCCCACTGCAAGACCCCAAAATGGGGGCCTCTCACTACCCAAAACTGAGTCAGCATGATTATCGACATCATACTGATTTTGATACTAAATAATTTGCATTAGATACAGAACATTTACAAAGTGCTAGCATTGTCTTGTAAACAAATAGTAATACTTGATTTCAGAGTCTTAACAAGCGCTCCTCATATCTATCAAAAAGCTGTTGACATCCATGAAACATAATCGCATTCTGCATGCAAGAGACCTGCAGCCATGAAAATGAGGGATTTGGGATATCATCTGTAAAAGAACTCCAAATATGTAGGGATGCACTATAATTGGGTATCATATTTTTTATCATTTGGTAGTATTTACATTGATCAGTCAATCTTTTTATTTGGATGATTTGGAATTTTAATGCTCATTCCCTCGGTTTTTATATTTAATTTATCAGTCGTTGTATTTAATCGGTCAGTCAATATTGGAAATTTGTTGCCTGATATTAAGTATTTAATTGTGCATGCTCATTTCCTCTGTTTTAAAATTATTTTATTAGTCAGTTTTAGACTAACCTTGCTTATCCCACTTAAAGTTAATCTTTAAAAACAATAATAATTAAATAACATTTCCAATATGTAAACTTGAGTATTCATTTAAGCACATTTTTTTGTTGAGCCTAAATGTATTTTTAGCGTTTTATTCTTTATTTAGTTATTTCGATAAATTAGCCACATCAACTATCGGCCACTTATCAGATTATCGGTATGTTCTAACATTTTAATATCGGTGCATCCCTGCATATAAATGCCTTCTTAAAAATGCATTCATGCTCTTATTTCCCACATGCCCACCTAAGCTGGAGTCTTGACAGCATCGGAATTTTGGCACGGTCAGTGTGGGATAACTAGGAATGAATCAGGTTTCATTATGTTGAGCAAAACAAATCATTCCACCAAGCAAACAGTTTTGGGCTGTGTAAAACGATTCGTCATAATCCAAATGTCCTAGCATTTCTGCTGAATGTGCTTAAAGAGTCTGATTCTATTGTAAACATTACGATGTAAAAACATGAGTATCATCATTTCTGCCTCATACTGATAAAACACAATAATAAATCAATGCTTTGCTTTCTGTTTGCCTTGAATGATCTGGCCAAGTATAGCTGTAAGGAAGAGGGGAGGGCATGTTGGCGAGCGTTACGATATTGGCTTACACACACACACACACACAATCAGCCAATCAGAGGCGGCTAGCATCCCTCTCAGCACTACTGCATTCCCTACATCTCCCCATCTCTGGGGTATCTTTTATCTGAAGCCACCACCCCCCTCCTCTCTTCTCCCTCCATCCTTCCATCTGTGGGAAACAAAAGACTGCAGCTTGGTCTTGATCCCTCCCACTTTCTCTTCACCTCTCCCTCCTTCTCTCTCAGTAGGATTTTCTGATTCATTTTTTTTGTTTGTGCATTAACCTGCAACCTGTTTTGTGTGTGAATATTAAGAACAGAAAGAGATAAATATGCGACTGTGTTGTTCTTCCACATCGTTTCATTCCTTTCCTTTGAGACAACCATGATGTCTGATAAAAAAAAAAATCTGTTGATGGATGCCAATACAAAAGGCATCTGCTGATTTATACAATCAATTTTAATCTGAGCTTCTCTTTCTGGATTCATACTTAGTAAACAAGGTGTAGTAAGCCTAAAAGACTTCTAATTGTTGTCCAAAAAACAAAAAACAAATCCTCTCCAGCAATTCCCTCTGATTCTTTTCCTCCCTCAAATCCTCAAGGGGTGCAGAGCGAATGAAATGAGATCATCTTTGCGATCTCCTTACTGACATCATCTAAAACGAGGAGTCCTTTGTTGAAAATAAAAAAAAAAAATATGCATGCCTTGCCACTTCACTCGTGATCCAGCTGAGAGTGTTGTTTCTGAAAGTTCTGGCATGGTAGAAGATAAAGGTAACATCCAGCTTAGAGTCTTCAGACAGAGTATAAAACAGGTGAAAACGCATTCAGATGTAGAAAGATGACTGACGCATGGAAGAAGAAAATGGTCATCATGTACTGGTTGTTTCTGTGTGAAGTTTAATCGTGAGTTTTTCTTCATCCTGAGTGCTGTGATGGCCGTCAGGTCTTAAGTATGACTGAAAGAGAAGAAGAGGTGTTCAAAGAGTGAAGAAAAGTGAATTCAAACAAAACAATGATGAAGACGATGAATTACAACTTAATAAGGATTCAAATACAAAACATTCGCTCAAACAGACACAAGAGGATCGAGACACACAAACAAGATTGCTTTATACAAATATTATGAATTGATTGCAATGACTTTTATTAATTGTATATTTCAATAATTTTCACCTGTTACACCAAAGTCAGCTTGTGGTGTTTCTGTTCTTAAGCATTGTGTTTCTTTTTATTTATTAAAGCATAAGTATATGCAGTTGTACTGTAGATGGGTTTTCAACATTTTTAAAATAAACCAGGATACAATGTTATATACACTACTGTTCAAGAGTTTGGGGTCAGTTGTTTGTTGAAAGAAGGAACTTAACACTTTTATTCAGCAAGGAGGCATTCAATTGATCAAAACTGACAATTATAATGTTACAAAAAATTCTATTCATCACAGAATCGTAAAAAAAATCAGCAAAAATATTAAGCAGCACAACTGTTTTCAGCATTGATAATAAAAAATGTTTCTTGAGCATCAAATCATCACATTAGAATGATTTCTGAAGGATCATGTGACACTGAATACTGGAGTAATGATGCTGAAAATTCAGCTTTACATCACAGAAATAAATTATATTTTAAAAACTGTGATAATATTTCACAATATTTCTGTTTTTGCTAGTAAATTCTTGCTGTAAATGCAACATGAGACTTCTCCCAAAACATTACAAAATCTTTCCAACCCCAAACATTTAAACATTAGGATATGTCATATTTCAACTCCTGAAAGGACAAGAAATTACTCAAAATACAATATCAGATGTAAATTTAATTTACAAACTAAAGAAACATTATTTTTAATCTGGTCCCTGAAATGATCTCAACAAACTTAGATCCATTCACAAAAGGCCCATGATTAAATTGACCTGTAATCAGATCTAATTCAAACCCTCATGAGCTAAAATCAATCTGACATTTACCCAAATCACAAAGTCAGCTCTAGGCTTACATTCAGTTTCCCATGGGCTCATGGGAAGGATACTCACCACCCCAGTTGATGACGATAGTAACAATAATGATGACAATCCCACCCACCAGCGAAACGATGGACAGGACCTTTGCATTCCGGCCAAGACGGCGTGCGCCATCCACGTTGCCCTGCTGCAGACTGTTACGAGACTGCGATTGGAAAGAGAAGTCGAATGAACAGGAGGAAAAGATATACAAGTAGAATAAATAATTCCATTATCACATAAGAAAGATGCAGTTTCTTTGCCAGTAAGAGATGTTTTCAGTTTACAGTCACTTTCCGAGTTGCACGATTCTTGCATACACAAGTGAAATCACAATCCCTCCTTACTCGACAGAAACTGTATCCAGACATCCCACCCCACAACACACCATCACTGAAAAGGTCAAGCCGACGATGTTGATGGGCCAGACAGGGCAGAGGCAGGCCAGAATAGCCCATATGAGATAGTCGTTGGGTTTGGATCCGTCTCCTCCAGCATCAGTGGCTGCGCTGGGCTGACGGGTGAGCGATGGCCGAGGTGACCCCGCGTAACTCAGTGACCCCGAGCGGCTGCTCAACCTGGCGCGCCCGTTTGCATGTGCGTGGTTGGGTTTGAAATGCTGTTGACGAGGAGGAGAAGCAGCGGTGGGACAACTGTCGATAGGAGCCGGGCAAACACCATTACCTGTGTGATGGAGAGAGAAAGAACACGTGAGAAACAGACAATGGACAGCATTTCAGGGGGTCCATTTTAAAAGAAGCGATTATTCCGTTTGTTTCCAAAGGCACACACGTCTCAGACTTTATTGGTATAGCTGCATCTGACTCATCTACTTGTTGAGAAAAACAGACAAGAAAAGAGAGTGGGGGAGGATATAAATCCTGAGAGGAAAAGGGAGTGAAAGTAGAGTGAGACTCTAAATCATGTCCTTCTATCTGGTCTAAGATTAACACTCAAGGAAATTGAGAAATAAAAATACAGAGAAAGGTCAAAGACAGAAGGGACAGCTTGTATATGATCACAGTGTAACCCATACACCCCCTCCCCCTTCCCATAATTATAAAGTGTGTATTTTAAAAACAAACTATTTAATAAACAAGCAAAATGCAAGACTAAAAAATATTTGTTAATTAAATGTTTTTTACTTATTTCCATCTTCTCGTCAATGACTGTCAGGTGATCTTGGCGTGGGGCATCCTGAGAGGGGGCGGAGTCTACAGCAGGAGTAGGTGTTGTTGCGGGGATTGGATCTTGCTGCTGATTTTTTATTGGCTGAGAGGAGATGGCGGTGAGGTCTGACTCTGTGCCTGGTTGCTGACTGGTCTCTTGCTCCGATTGTTTCTGTTGATGTTCTTCCTCTTCTGCACCAGGGGCAGCAGTGGGAATGCTGGCGTCAGCATTCAAATCCATTCCCAAGGTGTTTACGACAACTTGTGGCAAAATCAAGCTTTTATGTCCGGATTCTGAATTGTTTAGAACTGTTGGGTAAAAGTAAAACAAGTGAAAACATATAAGGCATCACATAAATGATATAACAGTTGTACTGTGAAGTCAATAATGAACTACCATTCAAAAGACTGGGATCATTAAGAAGTGTTTTTTTAATGGCACATTAAATTGATTAAACGTGACAGTTAAGACATTTATTATGTTACAAAAATAAATGCTGGTCTTTTAAACTTTCAATTCATCAAACAATCCAAAAAATCGATCATGGTTTTGGCACAATTGCTTTCAACATTTGTCATCATATTAGAATTGATTTCTGAAGGATCATGACACAAAGACTGAAATAATGATGCTGTAAATTCAGCTTTGATATCACAGCAATATTTTTTTTTTTCAAATAGAAAACAGTTATTTTAAATTGTAAATATTACTGTTTTTACTGTATTTTTGTTCAAATAAATGCAGCCTTGGTGAACATAAGAGACTTACGACCTCTTACAGACCTCAACCTTGTACCCCTGCCCTGTCTAGGGGAAGTTAGCAAATTACAATATCTGTATATAAACCAGTTTTCCAAACACTACCCTTGTCTCCCACATACTGGTTTGAAAGACAGATTGTCATGCCCCAAACTCACAGTTTGAACCAACGTGGTTATTTTGGTTTCTAAAACGTACAGAGTAATGATTTGATTTGCTAGAGCTACAGTGTCAACATTATTTTTAAGGGGAAAAAATTGTTGTTGCTGCATATTAAGTTGGAACAGGACCGTTTAACAAAACTTTTAAGATGTCAACAACATTAAACCTAGATACATTAAGTTAAAAATATTTGAAGAAAATAATATGCAATCAAATTCACTATATTCTTTACACCATGATTTTAGCAGGGTATGGCATAATTATATATTTTTTTTCCAAGTCAACTGGTCTTGGGGCTCTGCACCTTTTTACCTGCATACACTGAATCTCCCTCACAGCAGAATCTGCCCTGAGAAATGAAAAAATAAAGGCACCATAACAGCTTTATTTGTGTGCTATCCTCACATGTGAAAGATGACAGATTTTTGTGAACAGTGGGCTAACGATCAATGCTTTATTGTCTAAAGCTACACAACATATTGCATGTCTTCAAAAACTAGCACTCTGTCACACCCAAGATCCCAGAAATCAAGATCCTAAATAATTATAGTAATAATCATTATAATCAGATAAAATCAAATATTGATTACTTTAAAATCCACACGAGGATCAGAGGTATTAAAGTCTGTTAGAAAACAAAGAGCATCAAATGACACACCCATATCTGCAACTATATATATATATATATATATATATATATAGCCTTTTATGATTTATGACAGATACATTCTAAATGAACACTGCAACTGACTTGTAGCCTACACCATGTGGTCATTTAACATAACGCTAAAATCAATGAAATAATCCATCAATAACGACTTTCTCCTTTGCCTGTCATCTGTCTCACTCTATGAAATGAAAGAGGTATAAGTCTAGAGGTGAGCACACAACAGACACACACGGGACACGCAGCCACGCGTCTTCTGCATGAATGCCAAATGGCTATACACACACACATATATTAAACATGGAATATATATATATATATATATCAATGTTTAAGGTTCAATATAGGCTATTATTATATATCGCATAATTCAAAGAGAATAATGGATAATGGTGACCGATAACATCGTGAAAAGTGACACACCCACAGAACCCGATAAAGACTGATGCGAGAATCAAAATGCCAGTAATAAACCACAGCACCATGCAGATCGAGCGTATACTCACCTTAATCTAGTGCAAAACTCTCATTATGAATTTAAATAAACACTAGGCATACGAAAGTTTCAAATGGTGACACAGAATAAAGATTTAAAAAGGTGTTGATTTACGCTATACAAAGCTGCAGCGTGTTAGTATAAAAACGTGGGGTGATGTGTCGGCATATGATCCTCTGCCTGTGTGACTCCGTCTCTTCTATCTGCATGAACCTGTGTGCGCGTGCTCGACTCTGTGTATGCGTGCGCGGTTTTCTTTCTTTTTTCTTTTCTTTTTTTTTGGTGGTTTTAGAGAAGCTCTTGATAGTGGTGTGAATTTCGATTCATCCCAGTGACTCGAATCTTTTGAGTCGACTGAATAAAGTAATTCAGACGGCTATATGATGATTCTTGAGTTACATCGGGCCTGTGCCTTTTTACAGTCTATGGCATGTGCCTGTCATTCCTGGTATGCGGTGACTTTCCTGTCCCAATGATTTATTTAGGCCTACTCATATTTTCTCTAAAATGAGTCACATCTTTATAATAAATGGCTTAGATTTAAGTATTATTTACTATTTAAACAGAATAGACATTAAAAATATATATATTTTGTATTTTACACATTTTTAATTGACATTTGCATCTATATATCATGTCCTCAGTGCACAGTAATCAGCTTCTGCGAGAAATAACCATGCATGAAATGACAAAAATTACTAGGCTAAATTACCTAATCATGTGAACTTTCTTAATTTTCTTAAATTACTGCGTCCCTGAAGTCATCTGAAGCCTTTCCAAATCCGACTGCAATTTCATTGAGACCATTTTCAATAAGTGACTTGACACCTGCTGGAATCCAACTGTGGGTAACAAACTGAGGTAAGCATCAACTTTTTTTTTTTTTTTTTTTTTAGTTTAGTTTTTGAAATGTTATCCTGCTTGTCCCACCCTATTAGACTATGTTATGGAGAATGCTTATCCTATTAAAAAAATGTAAAACAAATCAACCTAACAGGGTGGAATGTGAAACATTTTCTATTCATCAAAAGTTGTTTTGCTTGTTACAAGAAGTAAAAAAAATCTAAGATGACATAAGGGACATACAAGAAAAGCTCATTATTGTTTAACATTTACGTTATTAACGTTGTGATAACTATGTTGACTATATGTTAATAACAGGGTGGAATGTTTCCATGGACAGTGTCTGAACAATCTTGTGACAATGAGAAAACAATCAAGAAACCAGTTCACTTTTTGAGCGAGACTCGGGAGAGTCAGTAACATGATTCGAGTCACGAAAATCCCCCGCCACCACTTTTTATATGGCAGCGCCGACATGTGGCCAAACACTGAAACACAAGCATTCACAACCCGTATTTCAGGGTTTCTCAACTCTGGCCTAGAACTCCACTTTCCTGCAGTTCAGCTCCAGCCCTAATCAAACACATTTGAACAAGCTAAACAAGGTCTTCAGGATTACTAATATAGGCAGTTGAGTTTGATCTGGGTAGGAGCTAAACTCTGCTGGACAGAGGATGTTGAGGCCAAGAGTTGAGAACCCCTGCCATATTTATTAACAACTGTTGGAATACAGCTGATGCAAAAGCAAAATATTTTATTTTATATTTGAGAAGGCATTATTAGACCATTAAAAATGGTTTTATTGCTGGAAAAAGCAGAGCAAAGTAAAAAAAAAAGAAAATTCCAGAAAGTTCTTTGGTTAAAACTACTGATTATGAACAGTATAAAGACATCTAGGCACATTTCAACATAACACAATAAAACAAAATAAAGACATGAAAAAGCAATTGTGTTAGTAAACCGAGAGGAAAAAAAATCTTTTGAAATTTAGTTCACATGAAAAACAGGACAACAAGAGTACTGCTAAAGCTGCATTTCCATGTGTTTAATGTATTAGCTATTAATAGTGTAAACTACAACATGGAGTATAACATCACAGTTTTATTTATGCATTTCATGTGGTATAAGGCCTCTTAACTTCTGTCTCCACTATTTTTTATTTATTAATCTTGGTCTTTGCCCTGCAGAGCCCCCAGGAGGCCATTAGCAGTAGAAAAGAGATTAATAGGAGAGGAGCCATCTGTAATAAGAGTAGACTTCAAACCCAAAGACTGCAGGAGCTTCACCTGCAAAAAAAAAAAAAAAAGACAAAATATTGAAACAGTAGAATCTTTTCACACCTCACATCCATTCAAAATGGTATTATGAAAATATTTGAGATGCAAATCCTCCATAGAAAGATGTTAATTTGCTATTTCGGTGTTCTTGAGTTCATTTACCTGTAGTTCGGGCCCGGCTCGGGCCATTTCCTTCAGGGTATCGGTGCCCAAGTTTGCGATCAACTCCTTCAAACGCAGACTCTCAATCTCTGCCAGCTTCTGCCGCTTCTCCACCTCCATTCGGTCAATCTCCTTCTTGTAGTTCAGCTCCTGCTCACGTGCCTTGCACAGACGGGCCAGCTCAGAGTCCTGACACACAGAGGAAAGGAAAATGGTCAAAATGCAATAGTGTAAGAATATGAGATCTAGCACATTTTGGATGACATACAGCCTCGATTTTGCGAGCCTCTGCTTGGAGTTTGGCTTCTTCAACCGCTGCCTCTCCATGTATACGAGCTGCCTCGGCTTTAGATTGTGCCTCAGCCTTCGCTGCTCCTGTGCTCTCCACTGCAGCACTGGAATGTACACACACTGATTATTATCCGTGAAAACGTTAAATGAGCACACAAGCTTTAGCATAGCACTGGCCCTTGCAGTGAACTCACCTCTGGGCCTCCAGCTCCAACAGCTCTTTCCTCGCCTTCTCTGCCTCTGCCTGGTCTGAGATCTTCTGCCTCTCCAGGCGACCCCGAGCCTCCTGCTCCAGACGCTCTGCTTCGTGTCTGAAACAAGGGAAATGAGTGTTAATGGGCACGACAGGCAAATATGGAAAGCTGTAAGAATAACAGGAGCTCGATTCTTTCTCAAAGTGAAACACCAGAGTAAAGTTTTGCTTATGTAAATTGAGATAAACGTAGAGACTGAGAATTAGATTAAAAGAAACCCATCAGGCTGTCCATTGAAACACAGCAGTCAACATGCATCATTTGTTAACAAATATTCATTACTTTAAAGAGGTCATTGTTTCTGCCTTAAATTATTACATTGTTTAAATTAATAATTTTTTTTTAGCTAACTGTGATTTTGTATGTGTACATTTCTGAAATACATAACTTAGACAGTTACCTCTGATAAGAGATCACTCTAAATTGTAAGGTGGACTCGAGCATTTTCTGTAAAGCTGCTTTGAGACGATGTGTATTGTGCAAAGCGCTATACAAATAAATGGGAATTGAACTATAACGAAAACTTCATAAATATGAAAATAAAAAGTTATTTTTCTATGGCTAATCAATGTAAAATATAATATTTTTATTTGTAGCAGTTTTTTATACAACACAAAACATATCCAAGTCTCACAAAATGTTTACAGAAAGATTGTTATACACAAAATAACTATGTATATGTTATAAAATAAGTATTATATAGTCACAAAATAACTATGTAATAAAATAATTATTGTTATACATAAAATAAATAAAATTACACTTTAAATCACTTAACTGAGGAAAAAAATCATAATAATAAAATTAAAGTAAAATATTATAATTGTTATAATTATTATTTCTGACATACCAGTAATTATGTATATATTGATATTTTATTGGATTTTTATTTCAGGTGTCTGCAGTTGCAAGGGTTTATTTTGTCTGATTTGACTGCTTCTACATTTTGATTTTACTTCACCTGTTTATTGGATATTAGTATTCTGGATTACCGTTTCAAAATTTGTTTTATATTTGGTTCTAACCTTGTCAGCAGTATTATACCCATCTACAATGCTGTCAACTATTCTTCATGAAACTTCACTTTCTTATTGACTGCATGAATCCTGTTTGTGGAATTCTATGGTTAGGTTTTCAGACTGAAACATGCAGTGCTCAGTATAGTTTGTGGGAGATCAAGTTCTCTCATTCACAATTTATTCATTTCTTTTTCGGTGTTTAACATTGTCCATGTGTAATGTGTGTGATGACCTTAAGATATTAAATATGTAATAATGTAAAATTCTGTAAATAATATATAAAATAATATAATATAATGTGAAAAATATGAAAATATATATAAAAATAGATAATAAAGAGAGAGAGAGCTGAAGTGTTTGGTTTGTACCGTGCAGCAGCCTCCTGTGAGTTGGTGGTGATCTCGATGGCTAGTTGCACGCTCTTTTGCAAGGCGTCGCGGGTGCGCTGGTCCACCGGCTCCACAGACTGAATATCCACGCTGCTGATAACTAACCCGTTCTGGTTAAAGCGCAGACTGGACCGCACCGCAAGCTTCTCATCAAAACCAAAGACGGACGAACAGATGATCCTGATGGAGTTCTGAAAGAGAAATTGATTCATATGATCAGAATAGACAAGGACAAATAAGACTTGGGCATGTTTTTAAAGTCAGGATTTGAACAACTGAGCCAGAATTTTTAAATCTGGATATTTATTGGATATTAGTATTTTGAATTACCCTTTTAAAGGGTCTCTTTCTTTTTCGGTGTGTCATTTGACACAACATTGATTAGTTTAGAGAAGTAATATATTCACAAGATTTCTCAATTATAAAAGCATAAAGTAAATGTGATAGTTATCCACTATCGCATTGTGAAGAGTATTTAGTGGGGTCCACAAAGGCATAGCAAAAATTATCCTACTCTGATGAGACATATCTCATCGGGAGGAAACTATAGCTATCTGTGGGTGAAGAGAGAGAAACCGAGCCACATCTCTAAACATGTAGGAAAGAGAAGTATATCAGTGCAATAAAGCTCTAAAGGTGTGTCACATACCTTGTGGAAGTCATCAAACTGCACTGAGGCAACTGCTCCTCTGATTCTGGACGCGATGGCCTTGCAAGCATCGCCCACAAAGTCTGGCACTGAGAACAGAGCCGCGGCCTTGGCCGCATCAGCAGGTATTTTGATGTCAAAGTGCCTGATACCCGAGAGAAGAAAGAGAGAAAGGTCATTGCTCTGTTCAGCTTAATGATATAGTTTATTTGCACTCCATTTGTACTCCTCAAGACATTTCGAATAAGGTTTTAGAGCACACGCACACCACGTACCAGTTGTAGGAGAGCTGCAGCTGCAAGCGGGCATGGTCAGCCGTCTCTATGGTGATGATGTCGGTACAGAAGTCTGGGCCAAGCAAGAGACAAATGGTTTTGATGACATTAGGACGTTTGGGTTTGTCTCCGGAAAGGGAGAGAATCGTAAACTGCTCATCAGGGCCCAGCATCACCATCTCAGGCCCAAACATCACCCTGTGAGAGACGCAGAATGTGAAAGAAAAAATGTTTTTAACTTAGAACTGTAACAAATACACAACATGAATAACACACATAAGATGTCGAAACAAATGAAAACACTCATTTTGAAGAATTGTAAAGAAACTAAGCAAAATTGCAGGTTTGAATAATGTCTTAGGAAAGACGCTGCATAACTATATAACTGTCACTCAAACAAACTACATTACATTACCTGGCCTTCTTCTCTCTGTAGTCGTACACCTGCACGGCCGCATTGTGTGGGATACGATAAGACACCACTCTGGTTTTATCTCTCTCAGATTCCACAAAGTTCCTTCCTCGATCAGAGCGGTCAGCTAACGGGTCACGGGATTGGGCCAGAAGAGTCTCTACATTGGCTGGAAGCTCTTTCTCCCACAATTCCTCATCCTGCGTTAGCATGTATGTCTGACCAATCACGGCACGCACCTGAAAACCAGACATAAAGTCAGCAGGGATATGAAGCATTTTAAAGGGATACTCCACTTTTTTTGGAAATAGGCTCATTTTACAACTCCCCCAGAGTTAAACAATTGAGTTTTACCGTTTTCGAATCCATTCAGCCCATTTTCTGATATTTTAGAAGAATATCTTTAAACAGACAGTTTCTGGTCTCATTGACTTTCTCATCTGGTTACTGATATTCTTCTAAATATCAGAAAATCGGCTGAATACATTCGAAAAATGGTAAAACTCAACTGTTTAACTCTGGGGGAGTTGTAAAATGAGGCTATTTCCAAAAAAAGTGGAGTATCCCTTTAATTTCATTATGTTGCTGTTTGTGTGGATTAACCATTTACCCTCGTGTTTGTTTTGCTGTGTCAATATAAATTAAATTGAGTTATAGTTCTACAATTAGAAAGATTAGAGTCTTACTTATCATCTTAAAATAATTTCCAGAATGTACTAAACTGAAATAGAAGAATTTAAGGAATAGTTCACCAAATCTTAATTATTATTATACTAGTATATTTATTATTATAATATTCTGAAGCCATAAGACAGCTTTGTCTGAGGAATAGGCGGAAATTTAAGTCAATATTCACAAAATATCTTCCCCTCCGCAGTAGCTTTTAAATCAAATAAATTGTCATTAGATGCAATAAGAAAAATGACATTTTTGTCACTGTGAAGATGGACAAAATGTCTATTTCTTTGACTGCTCTCAGGCCTACAAGATAAATAATATCCTCGTGACAAGATTCTGAAAAAGAAAGAAAATAAAATGTGATCATTTTTATCTTGCCTTTCCAGATTTGATATCACGGACATAGATTCCCTCATTCTCATCCAGCGGGATCGCTTCTCGTCTAAGCATCACCTCCACGGTGGCAGGCGGCACATATTCGGCTGGCCCGCGCAGCATCCAACGGTCACCTGGACGACGTTGTGTTCCCCTTATTTTGGTCCGCTTTTCCCCTCCTTCTTCTTCATCTACCTTGTCCTGCTGAATTGGAACGGGGCAAAGAGATGGGGTGAAAGAATGAAGGAGGGAGTAACAATGGCAAACATTAGTGTAGGGTGGGGACGGACTCTGCAGCACAAGTGGCATACGTTTAGACTGTGTGTGTGTGTGTGTAAGCATAAACAAGAGTGAATAATGAGAAAAAAAATAAATAAAGAAATGCAACAGATTGAAAATTAGGAAAAATTAGGATGGGAATTAAAGTATTTGTAACAGGGAGGGAGAAGAAGGGAATTAATTAATGAAGGAAGTGATTTCCCCCTCTGTCTATCATTAAAGTGCTCTAAATGTCAGTGTAGAAAGGGGACTTGCATTCACACAGTATATTCAGTAATCCAAAATCAAGTTCTTCCTGTTCACACAATTTATGACAAGGTGGATTACGAGTTTCAGAAACGCTCTATTCACAAACCCAGTTCACAAACTGAGAACGAGTGGGTGAAAAAGCAATCTCTTGTCTGGCATGTGCACATGAAGACAAAGATTTCAGGAATGCTGAAAGGGACATTTAAAGCATTGGGATCAAGGGCCAACGGCAGCACCTTACTATACAGGCAATATCCGTGTACACTAGGTAAACACAATACACCCACTCTCTATTTGTTTTCTTTTGTTCCGAAATCTCCAACAACAGGTCTCCACCCTTCATTTTCACCCTATACTCGGTCTGTTTCTCTCCTTGTTTAAATACTATTTGAATGAATCAGAGCTCTCTTGTCCTTTCTCTCACAGGGCGCAGGTGTTCAGGACATCTGTTAAACACTCTATGCAAATGCTACAACCCTACCAGCTGTTCATATACTGTCAATGTCTAGTTAATCATGTACTAAAAGGGTCCTTTTTGTGACTAATTGTAGATGATTAAAGATGTCCTGTACCCCCTCGGTGTCAATGAAGGCCTCGACAGCACGCAGCACAAGCCCCTCCTCCTCAGACAGCACGTACACATCCTGAATCCCGTTCTCCAAATATTCTCCGGGCCTGAGGAAGAAGGAACGCTCACCCTGTGAGACAAGGAGAGATAGAATAAGGAAGGAAGAGTGTCAGTGCATATTAAACTTGAATTTACTTTAAATTAAAAAATAATTGGTATCGATATTAATTCAAAACTATAAGTTTTGTGTTAAGTGCTATTCTATGAGAGTATATAAAAGTTGTTGGTCAGAAATTAATATAATACGTTACAAAACATTTCTATTTCAAATACATTTAAACTAATTATTTTTCAAATACACATGCATTACAGTTTCTACTAAAAAAATATAATGCAGCACAACTGTTTTCACCATTGATAAGTATATTAGAATGATTTCTGAAGGATCATGTGACACTGAAGACTGGAGTAATGATGCTGAAAATTCAGCTTTGACATCACAGGAATAAATTATATTTTAAAATGCGTTTAAATAGAAAACAAGTATTTTAAAATGTAATCTCAATTGTACCGTTTTTTACTTTAAAAACATTTTTAAGTGTCTCACACAAAACTGCATTGAAATGTACATTTATTATTACTTGAAAGGAATAAAAACCCTAGACTCTCTCAACTCCTTTTCATTGCATATATTGTAGCCAAAAATTGCTAAATTGGTTAAGTGAAGTTTGCAGATGTTATTTGCATTCATATATTTTTCGAATCCACAGCGAGACACTTAACCCCTAGTAACTCTGACATATATAGCAATTTTAAGTCTCTTTAGATAAAAGCGTCAACTAAATGAATAAATGTAAATGCTGTAGTTGTCCTGTGTTCATTCACCTTCACTACTCTCTTCTGTCCGAGCTGAGGTTTTCCATCGGCCCCCACGGGGTCCAGGACCACACAGTACTGCCTGCTGTTCAGAGTCGTCACGTCAACCACCCCGACAACCTCCTCGGCAACAGAGGGTATGTGAGCCTCTCTGTCTGCCACAGTCACCAGCCACTCTTCTCCAGTGCGGCGCTCTCGGTTCCCGGCGTCCCGGAATGGCCGGACAGCGCGCACATGCAAAGCTTTCTAATGAAGGACGAAATGACAAGCAGGCATTGATAATTAAATATGGGACAAAAGTATGCTCTGAAGCTGTGACTTCATTAGTGAAGTGCTTTCATCCTTAATTAATGTGTGCTATACGTTAACCTTACTGTTGAAACAATTAACCCCCCCCCCCCATCCCTCATTACCTGAACACTTAAGTGTGAATGGAGAAACAAGAGAGGAAAAACATGTGGTGATAGTATAGAAAGGGAGGGAAGAGGGTACCTTGTCCGTGAGGATGAAAGCATTGACAATATCCACAACCTCTTCGTGAGCTCCAGGTAGATAAGCTCCCACCTTACTGACCTGCCATTCCTCACCTGAGACACATATACACAATTTCAGCCATTTGTTTTTAAATATGCAGGCAAAGTATGAACTGTAAACTAAGTTTGCACATAAAAAGACAAAACAACACTGGAGCTCATTGTATGGTCATTTTTCTAAATATATTATTTTAAGTGCCACAGAAGAATAAAAGAACAACATGATGGCGAGTAAAATTATGACAATTACATTTTTTATTTATGTATACATGTCTGCAAGTGTGTCTCACGCACCAGTCACTCTTTGGACTCCACTGCGGTCTAGGCCCTCTTTCCGTGCTCGGAGGCGAATGGCCTGATTCTCTCTGATCACCGTGGCCTTTATGACTTCCAGTACTGTCACCTCCTTTCTGGGAATGTACGTCCCTGTCAGAAAAAAAAGCTTAGCAGATTAGACATCTTATACCATATGATGTCATCAATAATGTATGGATGCATTATAATGGATGCAATGCACTATATACTGTGATTGTGAGTAACTCGCATCTCTCCTTTTCACAATTCACACTTTTTTCTAACCAAAGTCAACATGAAATCAAAATTCTATTAAGTCAAGTTAGGTATACTTGTATAGTGTTTTTACAATACACATTGTTTCAAAGCAGCTATTTTATATTGTGATTACCATTACTGTTATAGAAAATGACTAATTTTGTGGTATTATAAGTAGAATTGTTTATATAAGTTATACCATAATTCTTGATCAAGCAAGTGGACTAATAAAATTTGACTCCTATTTACTATATATTCCTGTTTTTTTGTGCACAATTTATCTGTGAATTCCATTCCAAAAAATGTCTATTTTTTTTTCTTTTTCAGCTAGATAAACTGGATTCATTCTGGTCTCAATTCCTAATGAAGTTTCACTCAGAAATGTCATATTATGGAGGTAAATTGTGTTGCAAAGGGCATTTCATGTTAATCTATAAATTGTTCAGCATCTGAAGCTACCTTCCTTTAGCATAAAGTAGTTAATATCTGAAATTTGATTGCGAATAAACTAGCTTCCCATTTCATGGCCACCTCCTCAAACACGTTTCAATTAAATGTATTTGCTCTTCACTCAATATATGTGTGGGGAACAAAACCACAATGAATGTTCTTCTAAATACTGTAGCATTCCCTTTTGAGGAACAACTTTACTGCCTTTTATTTTCCCCTGATCATTTTATAACTTCATTATTTCCAACTGATATTTTCTTTGAACAGGAAACTACTCCAGGCAGGCTAAAGCTAATGTTAGTTGTGCTGCAGTGGTACCTGGTCCCTCAAACAGCCACTCGTCTCCAGCTACTCTCTTCTCTCCTCCCTCCTCTTCAAAGTCCAGCAGGGCCTGCAGACGCAGAGCTGTGTCCGGGTACACTATCTGCAGCGGTGTCACATCCTGCGAGAGTTAAAGAGAGAGAACGAATATGTAACTAATACTTTTATTATGATATACCCTATTAATTCTAATAAATGTTAAAGAGAGAGAAGCAGACATCAAATGCTGCAAAATGGTGCTTGGTTTAACCTACTCAGTGTGAGCTGATGGGAAATTCGTTGGTTTGGTACACAGATTTGCAACTCATGACGGAAACCACAACCTGTTGAAACTACCCACATGCCTGAGCTCTTAAGCCACAAGCTGCAAAGCAACATGTTTCCCAGACATACAATAACTACATACCTTTTGAACCTCTTCACCAGGGTAAAGAGGGAACGGATCCTGGGTCAGGCGGATTTCCAGGTCAGCGTGTCTGAGCTTAGCTTGCCCTGATGCGTCAAACTGAACTCGGCCTTCATCATCACGAGTGACAGGGTTGAGCACAACACAATAGTGCCTGGGCGGCACCATGATCATGCGGACAGGGGCAAACAGAACCCTGGTAGAAAATGCGAGGATGAGTTCAGTGATTCGGGCAAATAAACACAATCACATTCAGTAATCAGCATACATAGACTACATTCAAACGTTTTGGGTCAGTAAGATTTTTTTTTTCTTAAATAGAAATAAATACTGTAAAAGTAACAGTAAAGACATTTAAAATGTTATAGAAATTTCTAGTCCAAATAAATGCTGTAAATGCTTTCTATTCATCAAAGAATCCTGATAAAATGTATCACGGCTTCCACAAAAAATATTAAGTGGCACAACTTAATAAACAGAAATGTTTCTTGAGCAGCAAATCATTATTAGAATGATTTCTGAAGGATCAAGTGACACAGAAGACTGAAGTAATGATGCTGAAAATTTGAATTGACATCAAAGTAAATTTAATTAAAAGTAAATTACATTTTAAAATCTAGTTAAATGATCAAATAAATGTAGTTTTGGAAATAGACATAAGAGACTTCATTCAAAAACATTAACAAATCTCACACCTCCAAACATTTGCAAGTCTCAGAAACTAAAAAAAGGAGTAAAAGAGAAAAATTATACACTAAAAATAAATCTATGAACCACAAAACATCAATCCAAACACTATTAATAAATAGTTCATATCAGCTGTTGTCTGGGCAATAGAGGAATGGAAATAGACTTGATTACACACGGTCTCCCAGCAACTCTCTCTCTCACCACAGTTTGAAATTGGACACATTACTAATATACAAATGCCCTACATTTAATGCCCCAGTAATGCATCTGCAGTTTCTTTGAAGACATCAAAATAAATTAAAAATCTATTTAGGTCAAAAGCTAAAGCTAAAGGCAGCCAGAACCTGTATTTCAACAGCATTTGGACAATTCAGTAGTTAACCTGCAGTTTTCTAAGTTACCTCTCATTGTCCTGGCGGATATAGGTGAGAGGGCCGATCTCCACCCGTGCAATGTTGGTGTTCTGATCCAATACATGGATATAGTGGTGAGGCGGGATCCTGATGATCGAGGCATCGAGCAGCTGATTAGCATCCATATTTGTTCCTACAAACATACCCGCACAAAGTTTAATGTGGAATTATGTAGAGATTAGTGACCAGAGAATACATAAAATCAAATTCAGGGTCATGTGTAATACAATGACATTACTCCCACAATGTGATTAAATGTTTATGACAGCTTCCATTTGCCCTCCAATATCTAAAAAAGTTTTATTGTCTATGTCAGTTTGTGTTATGCATGAAAAACCCAATAATATAAAGGTCAGCAGAGTTTTTAAGAGCGAACACACCTCAGGTTCTTATCTCTTTGGGCAAATTCATGATAACGGTGCTATGGGTCAGATGACAACACTTTTTAAACACTTTAAAAACGCTTTTTAAACACTTAGCAGACAACACTTAGCTTTTTAGTCTTTTTAAACTGGGGTTATGACTGATAACATGTTGATAATTCGTTGATTTCATCAAGTCTAAAATATGGATTTAAGTTTGGAACAGAAAATTCTGTCAATCAAAGCTCTTCTCTCACACACCCACACAATTACAACACCAATCTCGAAGAATGTTGCTCTTTCATCACTCCTTGCCTAAATCAGTGATATCAGGTAATGAAGCTTACAAATTCAATTATGCAATGTCATGTAATCTAAGTGTTATTTAAAGAAGTAAAACGTTATCTTCCAGTAGGATGGATCGGTGGAGGTTGCTTATTGACAAAGAACATTATTTGGATATTTAGCAAGATGGCCTGTGACACAGCAGAAAAATATGGCATAATTTGAACACTATTATAGCCTATTTATATAAAAAATGTAAACTTTATCATTAACAGTTCACTGTTAAAGAGAAGCAGAGAAGTGACCTTAGTTCAATGAGTTTAATTTTTTTTTTACACAGGTTTGTGTAAATGTAATGTAAGCAAATGTATAGGCCTACTATGGCAAGACTGCTAGATGTGACATTAGTAATAGTCATATGCATAGACAGTGGACATATTTTGACTGACCCTGACCAAATGTAATTCTTTTGTCATGCATGACAAAAGTGAACAAATTAACATTAGAAACAATTAAAACATAAGTAAATGAATTGAGTATTTTTAATGGCTGCATTTAAAATAGATATAAAACATGGTACTCTATTTCGTGTCGTTTTTTCTGTTTGTTTGTTTATTGGGTGTTGTACAACAAGTTCACATTTGATTTCAGCACCACAGCAACAACCCGTAAAGCAAACACATTTGTCTTCGAATCAATCAATCACATCTTCCGCATGCTGTAACGTCAGTAGGAGGGCAGTCGATGTTCAAGGTGCACCAATCGTAAAACACCGAGGATGAACGCGGAAATTATACACTGACACCCTTTTTTTTAATTGACGATTATAAACAGAAGAATCACATCTGAAAGAATTGCCTGCTGAAGAGCGTCGTACCACACTAGATAAAGAAAGTGATTAAGGACGTCACAAATTAAACTAATGTTAGTCTATTTGATACTGTGTGTAAAGATCCGAATTACTTTATGTTCATTTAAAGTCCAAGTACAGTACGACAGCACGGTTAATGTTTTGCTTATGTGCTGCATTGTTTACATTTTTTTTTGCATCGTCCTCCGCGCTTTATAGATCTTCATTCGTTCGCCTTTGACGTCATTGCGATTCAAAATCAATTAAGTAACATGCACAACTAACCAAGTTAGATTATTTAAGCTGTCTATAAGTTATCCTCAAAGTTATGGCGATTTGTCTTCCAATTATTGTAAAATTAACGAGACTTACAGTTTCAGATACGTCCTTAAAACTGCCAGTCCGAGGTTGGATGGATCCGTCAGTTTAAAGACAACTCAATGAATGCTGCGCAGTGCCATAGACTAACCATAAAACGCACTGGTAGAGGGTGTGTCATGCAGGGAAGGAGGGTGCTCAGTGTGTGGGGCTTTTCCTGGAGCAGGAGTCACAGTGTCACGTGGCTTACTGTAGCTGGGTCTTGATGAAGCATATTTCAGCAAGAGTTTTATTTCATTTACTTTATAAATCATCCAGCTTGGTATTCGCTTTGTAATATTACGGAATGCCAATGTAGTTCTCTCTCTCTCTCTCTCTCTCTCTCTCTCTCTCTCTCTCTCTCTCTCTCTCTCTCTCTCTCTCTCTATATATATATATATATATATATATATAATTAATGCTTATACACAATACACACATAATAACAGATAACTATATTATTGAGAATATCCTATATCATTTCAAATGAGAATACAACTTCCTGTGATTTTTTTCTTACTTTCTTTCTTTTTTTTCAGTATACCTATTATACATATTTTTACATTAGTTAAAATGTAAAAAGCCAACAGTCAGTCAATGCCAAATGTCCAACAAAAACACCCATATATTAATGTCATAAGTCTTCACCATGGACTGTAAAAAAATCCTAATTCTAACCATTCATTTCTGTTAAATTCGCAACGAGCAGACATAGCATACACCCAATAAAAGTTATTGTTACTCATTGACGCGTTCTCTTCCGTGTCCCTCTCTCCAATCAGATTAGTCTTTGTTGAAGGTTCTGCGCATGCCCAAACGACACCTTCTCATGTGTTTCTCGTGCGCAGGCTCTGGTGGAGGTCACTGTGATCTAACAGCGGCGTAGTGGGTGAGTGGTTACGTTGGGAGAAATTGTTTTTATGGATTTTATGTATTTGATTTATTTACACAGCGCCAATAATTATAATATGACTATTGAAAGGGAAACGAGCATGATGGGTTTATCTTTGTGGGAAGGTTGACAACAGGACATGATTGCATGTCAGTTGCAATATTAGCGGGTAGCAGGCTAATTAATTAAACTTCACTACGACGGAAGTATTTTTAGTCCCTGTTGATATTTTTCATATAAGTTATTGTGTTGGCAAATGCCAATTTATCTGGAGTGTTTTATAATTGTGTAAGGTTGTTTTACCGAAGCTTTTCGCTGACCATGTCTGACCCTCTCAAAGGTAGAACAGCTTAGCACGTTTCATTCATGTCATGTCACTGCTGAAGAGTCAAGGCTAAACGGACGGAATGTTTTGATTATTTAAGTGCTTTTACATTCATAAGTGATCTTCATGAAGCGTTGATTGAGGTAAATGTGCTTCTCTCATCAGGACTGTTGCCATGGCGAAACTCTTTGAGTCGATTGGAAAGCTGGGATTGGCCTTGGCCATCGGAGGAGGTGTAGTTAATTCTGCTCTATTTAATGGTGAGTTCAGTGGTGCTCAACTACTTAAACTCTGTGTAATGTACCTAATAAAACAGTGTTGAATCTATAAAATTGATATGTCAAGCTATGTGTTTTAATTTAAATTTGAAGATCTTTTGTTTTTTCATTGCAGTGGATGCGGGACACAGGGCTGTCATCTTCAACAGGTTTCGAGGTGTCCAGGATGATGTTGTTGGGGAGGGCACACACTTCCTTATACCCTGGGTGCAGAAGCCAATCATCTTTGACTGCAGGTCCCGTCCACGTAATGTGCCAGTCATCACTGGTAGCAAAGGTACATCATGCCATTCTTTTACTTTTTCTGTCTGACTGCCATAGGTGTAATTTGAGGGTGGAACATGTCCCCACCACTTTTTGGCCAGGGTCCATATTGTCCCCACTACTTTTTGAAACTTCTCGTGGCACAGATGTACCTAACAGAAAGAAATGCCTCCATTTAATTAGCAATTAATTAGTTTGTGTTAAATGAGAGGGGATCTAGTGCTGGAATGTGTTGTTTTTGAAATCACGTTGAGTGGTTGTTGCCACTGTTCTCTCTTGGAGAGCGTGCCGTGCACACAGATGAGCACTATAAAACTATGGCTAGGGAAGGTTAGAATTCAAAACCTCTCCAAACCTTTGACAAAAGTTCTACCACCAGACCCTTAAGGCGCAAGAGCGTTCCATGTGAATCTATGTATTTATTCACTGATGACTGACGTGAATAATATATTCGAACTAATTTTATACTATATATAGTAAATGTAAGGATCTGTGTCAATAAATTAAACTCAAATTTACTATTGGAATTGATTTTCTGGACATTGTAATGTGCTTTTTCTGCAATTGTTATTGTACATGTCATTGTATTTGCACCCCGACCCACTTTTTAAAACAAAGTAAGTATCGCCACGGACTTCTGTTCTTCATTTGTTCTTGAATGTTTGTGTCTGACTCTGCCCTGTCTATTCTTTAATGTTTATCTCATTCTGTTTCTCTCACAATATGTTGAGGTTTCTTGCTTCTCTGCTGTTCATTCTTTTGTCTCAAAACTGGCTCATGGAATGTCTTTGTCCTTCTCAGATTTGCAGAATGTGAACATCACGCTGAGAATCCTGTTCAGACCAGTTGCTGGACAACTGCCTCGTATTTTCATGAGTATCGGAGAGGACTATGATGAGAGAGTGCTGCCCTCCATCACCACTGAGGTTCTGAAGGCTGTAGTGGTGAGTGTCATGCATGACGTTATTAAGACATGTACACTACTCGTTTAAGTTTGGTGTCAGTAAGATTTAGCCAGGATGCATTACATTTATCGAAAGTGACAGTGAAGACATTTGTAATGTTACAAATAAATTGTATTTCAAATAAATGCTATAAAAACATATCAACATATGTTTTTTATAAAATAATGTTAAGCAGCATAACAGTCGCTGGTGAGGCCGTCAAAATTCGCTCTTGCCGCCCTGCCAGCAACACTGTAGAAAGATTTGTGGAAGCTCTGACTTGGATCGAAAGTCTTGTAAACTTTATTTAAAGGGGCCGCAAAGCACACATGATCCTTCATTTCTGAAGGTGATCATGTGACACTGAAGACTAGTAATAATGCTGAAAATTCAACTTTGATATCACACGAATAAATTATATTTGAAATGATTTAAAATAGAAAACGGTTCTTTTAAATTGTAATAATATTTCACAATATCACTGATTTTACTGTATTTTTATTAAATAAATGCAGAGCATAAAAGACTTTTTTCAAAAAAAAAAAATTTTTAAATTGTACCCTCCCCAAACTTTTCTATGGTAATGTTTAAATGGCTGAAACCGAAACCTGGCATGGATTAAGTGGAATTCTACTGTGTATTAATTTTCCGCAGGCCCGTTTTGATGCTGGTGAGCTCATCACTCAGAGAGAGCTGGTTTCCAGGCAGGTCAGTGAAGATCTGACAGAAAGAGCATCCACCTTCGGTCTCATTCTAGATGACGTCTCTCTGGTAAAGACCTCTTCTACTCCCCCCACCCCCCATTGATGTTTGTTTCATTCTCTAGTGTCTCACCCTTTTGTCTCTCTCCCCTCAGACACATCTGACGTTTGGCAAGGAGTTCACTGAGGCTGTTGAGATGAAGCAGGTTGCACAGCAGGAGGCTGAGAGAGCCAGATTTGTTGTAGAAAAGGTAAGAGCCTCAAAATGGAATAGTCCAGTGTATGGTCTGAAGCATTGAACACTTGCCAAATGCAAGTAAAAATTGTCTTTGAATTACTCCCCAGTTTGAATACCAAACCTATTAGGTGTTTATATAAACTCTCAATGAGTTATGCACACTATCAACATCAAAATCACCTGCTAAATAAAATGTGCAAATTGAATCTGATTTTTACACTCAGAACAATGTGGCGACGTATGTGGAATACTCCGTGCATTGAGATAATGGCTAAATAATTCCATTGCATTTTTTTTTTCCTACTTTTAAATATACTATTCAGTAGTTTGGGGTCGGTAAGATTTAATGGTTTTGAAAAGTCTCTTATCCTGACCAAGGCTGCAATTATTTAATCAAAAATACAGTAAAAACAGTTATTACATTGATCCTTCAGAAATCATTCTAAAATTAATGAATAAACATTTATGTTTCTTTTATTCATCTTCAGGATATGAATGATATTAATTATATGAACAATTTTTTTGATATCAAGGTATTGTTGATATAAACAATTAATTATTTATGATTCAACAATTAGATATCAAGAATTACATTTGTTCATCTTAAAACGTTTCAATGGTAGTATATATTTGAATTTTATGTGTATATTTATTTGTTTAATTAATATTTTAAAGGCAAAATTAATGATTAAAAAGTAATTATTTTTCATCTAAAATGTAGAATGTGAAATGTTTCGTTTTTCCAATAAGTAATAGGTGAAGTAACATTTGTCTCTGTAATTGTCTCTCAGGCAGAACAGCAGAAGCAGGCAGCCATTATATCAGCGGAAGGAGACTCCCAGGCTGCGCTGTTGATCGCTGACTCTCTAGCAGTAGCTGGTGACGGCCTGGTGGAGCTGAGAAAGCTTGAGGCAGCTGAGGACATCGCCTTCCAGCTCAGCCGCTCTCGCAATGTTACCTACCTCCCATCTGGACAGGGAACGCTCCTCCAGTTACCACAGTGACAGGGAAACTAGAGACACACACACTCACTTCTCTTTTTTGTTCCAAATTTGGCTACTTTTGGAAAAGATGATGTCTGTAGACCCCATGCAAATATCTGATCAGCCTATAGGCAAACCTTATAGAGGCAAAGACAACTTGTTTTTCTCTCTTTTAGTCCAAAAATTTACTTGCTCTCTTCCTGAAAGCATGGACTGCCACAAGGTGGTTACAGCAATTGAAAAGAGTCTGTGTGTATACAAATGTACTGCCAGTGCATATATATATTTGCATTTGAAATGTTTTCTCTGCTAAATGTGAGTTGACATTGTTTGAAATTAAATTGTACGTTCATGAGTAGTGTGAGTCACAGACTGCACTGTCAGTGTGTGTCATGCTACTGGATGATTGACATCAATCTCACTCTCTGCAAATGGAGGACTGGCTGTGTTGTTTTTTTGGTTTGAAAATGTTTTGTTATTATATGTATGTGGCAGAAGGAATGCTCTTGTATTCTACAAGTGGCTAATTGATAAAATAATCAATAAACAGTGATTCATTTATATTAAACCAAAATACAATTGAATGAGTCTCATTTCAAATGAAATTCAATGGGTTTTTGTCTTAGAAATTAAATGAGAAACTGTAATGAGAGATCCTTTTACTTTAATTTATAGACACACAGGAAGTCAAAATGTATGTGTCATTCATAATTTAATACTATATAGAGCAATTCCAATATTCTTCCATATTTTTATGGAACAATTTTACTAACAATTTCACAAAATCGATTTTTTTAATTACATAAAGTTAATAAACATATTAAAAGTTATCCGTATTAGTTTTGGTGTCTTAGTTATTTCCTGAAGAGATCAATTTATATGATGAACAGGTTTAATTTAGTCTTCTATTCACATATAAACATATATCAGCTCAACGGTATTTGTTTGATGGACAAGAAACCTTTGCTGGGGGGGTGAAAAGAGAGAATGTGTTCAAAATGTTGTTTATGTCTACCTTTGTTTCTGTACCAAATATTCTCTGATTCAATAAAAAATTGATCACAAAAAAAGAAACATTTGCTGAAGCTCAAATGTGCTGTAACACGAGAATTAACCTCATTGGTTATTGCTGAAGTTGTGCTGCGTAAAACAAGAATGAATCTCATTGGTTCTTGCTTAAGCTCAAAGTAACAGGAGAATGAACCTCATTGGTTCTCGCCATAGAGGTTCTCGTACGTCAAGCGACCATTCTTGAGCTTCTTTTTATCACAACTGATGTGTGCCTTGATCCATGTGAATAAAACTAAAGCCTAAATTCAATGTTCATCTTATCAAGCAACCAGGTCTCTTCAGAAAAGTTTGACTAAACTGCTTAAATCACATAAATTAGTTTCACAATCTCTTTATTCATTTTTGAAGTGTCATAATGTCAGTTGCTTAACTGTCAATGGAGGGCTCAAAAAGCTCTCGGATTTCATTAAAAATAGCTTCATTTGAGTTCAAAAAAATGTCTTGCGGGTTTTAAACAACATGAAGGTGAAATATGCCTTTTAGTGTGCACTAGAGGGCATCAGTGCTTTTAAATCTGAAATCATAATCCGCATACACCAAGAGACTATGAAACCTGAAAAAATGACTAAATGTCCATATTGAGTTGGTTTAATGCAAGGAGCCTGTGAGTTAAGAGTTGTAAATAACAATAGGCCTTCTAATAATAATTGTGGGTTTTTGACATACATATTTTCTTTATTGGAAATAAAAACACCTGCACTTTTTTGCCTTTCTTATTTTTACACATATTTTTGAGACCAAATCTATAAACTAGCTTCTTTTCAAGAAATCTTAAGTGCATTTTGTAACAGATATGTTGAAGACTGAGCAATTATTTTCTCACTCTTCTTTGTCATTGTTTTGTTCCATTTTTGCCCGGAAACTAATCTCTGCAAAGATGGACTGATTATGCTTCAACTGAGTAAAAGAAGCTTTTGGTTTCAAAAATACTACAATACAAACTCCAATGTTATTAATTTAAAGAGAGCTTTAATACAGACAGCGAACTTCACTGCAGGAACACAAGTACAGTAATCTGTAACTGTGTCCTCTTGGAATTGCTCCGTTTATTAAATTACTGTATATTTGGATAGAAAAGAGAAGCATGATAAATAGAGAGATAAATGAGAAGTGGAAATCATAGTATTTACCATTTTTACATTTCACAGACACAACAGTCTTCATACACAGGATGTCGATTTTTCTTTCCTGTTTTTACACTTGTGCTCAAAAGACTTTTGTGGGCACTTACAAAACAAATGTTCATCTAAGGCAAGCCAAATTAGTTGGAGTTGGAATAAACTAAGTTTAACTGTGAGATGACATGCTGAGAGAATCACTCAGTTGAGAACTGGTCTGACTCTTGAAATGAGCCTCTTCCCATTAGTGCTGATCCTTATATCAGCGTTGTGATGTAAATGAAAACAGCAGCTGCTCTCTCAGGCCAGTTTGTCAGTCATCTGGAAAGAAAGAAGATGAGGACAGGAGATCATTTCAGATGTTTAGCTGAGGTCATCATCACTGGGTGTTAGTGCAGCAGATGCTACAGTCAAACAGTCCCAGAATGCCTAACACACCCACAGAACATATAGGCCAAAAAACTCAACTTAATTAGCTTATATTTGAGGAGACAGACACATGCAACCAAACTATTTATGGAAGCACATGAATGATAACATACACAGACAACAAATCAATTTTGTCGCATCACGGCTAAAACGCTTCTGTCTTTGTCGGAAAGAGATTAAGACACATTTTCAAAAAGCCTGTACAGCTCACATAGTCTGGTCTGGAACGCTTTGAAACATCAGCTCTGTCAATCACATTTAAGGATTAGAAGATTTCACATTTAGCTATATTATTTTTGACAGATGCTTTTATCCAAAGCAACTCACGTTACACTCACATTGTTGTAAGAGTTCATGCATTTTCTGGGAACCGAACCCATTGAACCATTGAGATATACAGGAACTATAAAACAAAATAAGAATAAGGGCCAGTTTCACAGAGATGGTTTAGATTAAGCCAGGATTAGGCCTTAGTGCAATTAGCTTGCATTATAAACGTGCCCAAGAAAAAAAACATTACTGGTGTTGATGACCATCTTGAGACAAAACAATGGCACTGACATTACTTCAAGAAATGTCAGTGCAAGTTGCTTTCAGTTAAAACAGCTAAAAATGCAATTTAGACTGGGACTAGTCTTTAGCCTGGTATGTGAAACCGGGTTAGAGTTAGTGTAAAGTACTTGCCTCTAAAAACGCACAGCTCCAAATACTTTTTTCGTCTCTATTACTAATAGATTTGTTTCGTCTCTATTAGCCTACTATTACTTCTTAATTTGGTGATAAAGACCAAGACCCGCTTATTGAAGTTCTCAAAATACTTAGTGCTTTCTCACAGGGTTAAACTGACAGATGCATTTTCTCATTTAGTTAAGCAAACGTTCCATCAAACGAAGAAGTCACTTTTGTCGATGTGCTTCACCGCAGGGAGGAAGGCGGGCGCGCGCACTGAATGCTGTCTGGTTTTGCTGTTCGAGGACGGGAAGAAAAAAAAAAACAACGCCACGCGCGCTTTCTCCAGTGCAGACAGCGGCGGATCGGGCGCCTCGGATGAACTCGGGGAATGGTTGATGCGCGAGACCTAGGCCAGCCACGTAGCGATGGCTTGTAAACTAGAAAAGCGGTGAGCTCTCGGACCGTCTAGAAGCAATTACCAGAGCGATTTACGATAGTTCGTCTGCGCGTGCATGCGACTGTTCGCTGTTCGTAAAAACTCACGGTGGCCGCCGAAGAATAGTTTATCTGAAGCAAATCGGTGTTTTTTTGTTGTTGTAGATTTGTGTTTTATCCGATCCCTACACTACACAACTTGAGGTGCACAGGATGAGGGAGAGGGCGCTCGTGTCTCGGGTAAGTAACTGTTAATTCTTCGCTACAAGTTAATGTCTGCTTTTGCATTTATTTACAGCGATGACAGTTGTTTGTCGCATGCATAATACCATCCCTTGAACATCTGTCAATGTATGATGCTGTCACCGTGACAAGCAATGCACGGCACTACTTATTTTTACCGCTTGCCTTGCAAAGAAAATGAATCGTCAGAAATGGTATTGTTTTCTTGGCAAATGGCGTTTTGCATACAGATACATTGAGATTCTTCTACAACTAACTGCTCGCAAACCGCGAGGGCATGTCAATATGAATGAGAAAACTCTCTGAATGAGTATAAATCTGGGCGGTTTGGGGGTGTAAAGAAGTGAAAGTCGTACACGACGAGGATGTTAGCTTGCTATGAGCCACGGGCTTAAACAGCCTAATTGCCTCTGCATGCGCCTAATAAAGCAGGTCTATTAAAATCATCTCGATGGGGCTTCTTTGCGATTACATTTAACAATTTTGCGAAAGCAGGTCCTGCAGTGGTTGGAGTCCGTTGCAAGCAGCTGTATGTGCGCGTGCACTCGGGCTGTTAGCTCTGCTAGCCGAACGGCCTGCACGCCTGCCGTCCCGACCAACCAATGTTTCCTTCTGTTTAACCCTTTCTTTGCGTCGCTTTCCCAAAAAAGTTACTCTTTGCCAGTGAGTTGCCACACACCCTTTGCTCCTTTTCTAATTGTTCTGACAGTATAGGCTGACCCAACTGCGCTGTATTGCAGTATTTCCCCCTCATTTTTGGGGTGGACGTAGTGGAGTTTGAAGGTGTGTTGTGGATGCGCGCGCTAGGCCCTTCTCAAACGGCAGCGTTAGCTCGAGCTGCTAGCGCTGATTTTAGGAGAACGGGGGTGAAGGAATTACGCCTTTTTTAAATTTGATGTCTCTTTTTATGTTAAACGTAGTCAATAACAGCCATTATGCATTTGTATACCTGACAAGCCAGAAAGCCCATTATTTTGTGAGATTATTTCCCCGCTTCCCTTATCCAGTTTTCAAGCTGGTAATGGAAGTCTCACCAACTTCATTGGAGAAGAGATTTTCTCCAGAGCTTGTGTAATTCACAATGTCCTGTGAGACCCACAATTCAAGGCCTTTCAGCACTCAGAAACCTTTAAGTTAGTATTAGTGTTAGTGTTCACCTTATCTTTTCCTTCTAAACATCTTCACGATGCTGTCTTCATTTCATTGACACAAGACTGCAATGTGGTGGTGGTGGTAGTGGTTATGCCAATTCATGTGTCCTAGGTATTATATCATATTCGAGGATAATTCAGGGCCCTCCTGCTATTAAAATTATTATCTTAAATATATTAAACTGCCTCTTAACTTTAATATTTTTAGAAATGAAGCTCTTAAAAATTGTTTTATGACCAAAAAGACTTGGTCACATAGATAGACTCACAGTTGATGGAACATTTTGTAATGTAGACCGACCGTATAGTATGCTTCAAAGTGTTTTTGTCTTTGGCTCATCTGCAATGATGCTCTTCGGCTGTGAAAAATATCTGAACTTGTGAAAGGTGAATGTGAAGGTGTCATTTTTGGCGGTAAAAATACTTATTATTAAATGTAAAGTATTAAACCTGTCTTATTCACTAAGCAGGTGGATGTGCAAATTTGTGTGTGAATGTTTTCATGAACATGATTCATCAATAACGTCTGTGCTAAAATTTATTCAAAAAGGGCTTTTCACACTGCGCTTAACCCCAGGTTATTGTCGTTCTTTACACCGCTTTTAACCCCGGGTAAAGGAGCGTTTCATACTTTAAGATACTTTAAGAATCTTACTTTAAGAATCATACTTTAAGAAGCGGAATTTGCATTGCTTTTTACTTCGGGTTTTGAAACCCTGCTCAAAATTGTGAAGTTCTGCTGTTTGTACAAAAACTAAATTATCCATGCAATTATTAAAGGTAGGGCAAGCTATTTGTTTTATTAAAACTTTTTGTTATACTGGTTGAAACTCTTTTTACATCCTGATTGCAATTAATAATAGAGTGACCTAAATATTAATACATATATTTGGAAGTTTCATGACCAAAAAAATGTTTAATTATTGCATTCACTGCCCTTCAAGATGTTTCCATATATCCTTGCAAGGCTCGCAGACATAACAGCAAACACACATGAACGCACAGCTTTGCAGACTCTGCTGTGTGCGTTATGACAGTATATATTACTTTTAAAATTCTGTTGACTTGTGTTGTATTGATGCACACTTTGCTTTTAAAGTCGCGGGGAAATGGAAGTAGTGACCTCTCTATATTTAAGTTTAACAGACTTTCAAAAAAGAAAAATATAAGGAAGTGACTTGGTTCTTGCATTTAGAATATAGATAGGGTTCATTTTCGTTTTAATTTCAACTTTAAGATGTCATCTCATTTGCAACCAATTCTGACAAATGTTTTTATGCTCTCTCACTGTCTGGGCCATTCATATTATCTTCATTAGAATGACCTGTATTAAAAGCCTTGAGTTAGTTTGTTAGTTTAAGTGCATCCCTGGAATAGAGTGAGTCAGCTTGGTTGTGGTTAATACAGTTACATAACAGCACTCAAAGAACCCGGCTGCCCTATTCTCAGTGAAAGTCAGATTGTGGATTCTCAGTGCTGTCTTGGTTGACCTCTCTTGATTTGAATAATGAATCAAATTATTAAGGGTCTGTTGCTATTCGAGTTCAGCACAAGGCCAGCTGGCCAGAGATGTTGGAGACAGGAAAAGAAGATGAAGTGTGTTTTTAGCTGTTGTAAGTTGTTTCGCTTTCAGTCACTTGAATGTAAAGTTTGCTTAATCTGCATAAACCAGTCCTAAAGTCATTTCTTGTGGACTAAATCCACCTTAAAATCTGACCATGAAAGGTTATTCTGGCTGCAATATCAATTAAAGAGATTAAACTGGTTTTGGTAATTGAATGAGTTTAATTTGTTCCTGTTTGATTGGACAGGGTGAGAAAGGGGGGCTTATGGGGTCATATTCTTGATCCCCAGTCCTAGTAACAATTGATTGGGATATTTATGCTAAAAGGTGAGTAATTGAATTGGTCGTAGAGATTTTAATTCTGTGATTGTCACCCACATCAAAGCAGCTTGTTTTTCATGTGTGAGGAAACCCAGAATTAGTCACTATTATCATCACCTACTTGCTGCGCCCAAGACGTTTCGAAACTTCAGTTGCACAAGTCAGTCATGTTATGAGAATAATGAAATCATGGAGTTTGTCTTCATGCTTTCACGCCAAACTTCTCTCTGCTTTTCTTCATTGCACCACAGCATGCAAACTCATAGACAGATTTGTAGATGTGACACATGCACCTTGAATTCTTGTGCACATGTGTAAAAATAGGTGGTGCTTTTTCCTTCCTTTCCTCCACAGATGTGTTAGTAGATTCTGCCCCCGGAGCACCGTGAGAATCTGCATTTCTGGTGTCCTTCTGATGGGTGCACTCAATTTAAGAGTGACAAAGCTGTTTTAACTATCTTTTTGCAGATCTCTAGCAAAGAATTTACATTACATTACAAGTCTTTTTAACCTGAATTACGAGCATCATTTGTTATTTAAAGTGACGATTTTGCCTTGATTTGAAACACAAAACAGTATTTACACTCCATAGTTCATAGTGTGCAAGGTCATTCTTTGAAATATACATACAGTAAAATGCGTTATATGTGCCGGCTACTTTCCTATGACTCCAACGCACACGCTCTGAGGTGTGTGACCCCTTATGCACCCATCCTGTGGTCACATATGCTGAGCTTTCCAATTCTCAGAAAGTTGCAAAGCGCACAGGAAGAAAGGTGGAGGTGTGTATATGGCGGTATCTGTGTGGGTATGTGTTTGTGTGTGTATAATTGTATATGTGTAGGCGTTTGTTTGTGTATATGGTTTGTTTGTGTGGGTAGGTTTATACGCGTGTATGTGTGGCCAGTTCAGTAATGTAAACTGACGCTGCAGGGGAGCTGTGTGATTCAGGCGAATTAAGTCACCCTTAATAATTAACATGCAAGGTTTTAAATATTTTTGTTTTTGAACAACACAAGCATTAATCTGAGTTTCATGCACTGCAACTGAATATAAAGCTGAAAAAATTGTTACTGGAGTTGTTAGTCTGTTGAATTAATTGGGTATAAAAGTAAAATGAGTATAAACAGAAAACTTAGTTCTATTGTGAGGGTTTTACTGGCTGCATGCAAAAACTAGCATACACCTGATTTATGAACAGATTTCTTTTCAAAGTCTAAATGTAACGGAAGTAGCGACGGATCTTTTCTTCCGTCTTGTGATGTGCATCAAAATGAAAACCAAAATGTAGGCAGGGTATTGGTCAAATTCATTGGTTGTTGATTGGATGGAAGCAGATCTGAATTCAAGCATGCAGTTGATGGTAAGAAAGGGGCGGGGTTTAAACTGACTAAATGAATGGAGAAGTCAACAGAAAGAAGTCTTGTTTCACTGGAAGATATTTTGATTAAAAATGACACAATCAAAACAAGTTTAGAAGAAAGAGACATGCATGGATGAATCCTTCACAATAAGATCAATAAATAACATGCATTTAGAAAATAGGGTATACCTTTTATTTTTGTGACATCATTCATTTGTCAAAACGACTCACCATTTATTGATTTGAATTAGGGTTTATGACGATATGTAGTTAAAACATGATTCATGAATATGGAGATACTGGACTTAAAGTAATAGATCCCTTAAGTATTCCCTTACTAATAGTAATAGTATCCGTTTAATGTGTTGTAAAGTAGCCTTACATGTCCTAAAGGAGACTCAAAGGTCAATCCTATATACGTTTCAACGTTATACCCGTTCTCTTCTGACTTTACATTTTTGTTTTAACTGGCCTGTTTCTTTTTTCGCTTTTTATCATTCAGATGCTGCTCCCTCCCCCTCAGACACATGATAGTCATGACCTTTCTCAGACAGTGCATACATTCACAGTATAGCTCACTATAGGAACACACACACGCACACACACACACACACACACATATATGCAGTGTCAGACATCCTTTCTTGCTGCCAAAGGATAGAGTGAACTCACTTTCATTTATCTAGATGTTCGCACGCACCTAGATGAATCAACAAGGCTTGTGATCCATGTATACGTCTGTAACTTTCTAAATACAAAATGTGCTGTTTGCATCTGTGCAGCTCTCAGACAGTCAAAGGCAGGCACCAGTGTTGCCATGTGTCTGACGAACATTTAAAGAAAGAAATCCCAACGATGACTTGGAACTCAAAGTCTTTAAAAAAAATTGAAGGTATGCTTTCCTAGCAAGGTGGTGGGTTAATCTGAGTCACACTGTTGGTCTCTTCTCAGATGTGGCATGCAGCACCCTGACTAGACAGTGATTGTCTTGGTAGTACTAGTCACAAGGCTTTAGATTTTATCATGTATTACATGTTGTTCACAGCCAGTGCTTTACAATGCATTATTGTTCTAAAGACTCTTGGAATATTTCACAGAACCAATTGTTCAGCTCACACAGACGACTGGCGCGCACACGCTCAAACGGAACAGAGATGTTCACAGAGAGCCAGGAAGTCAAGGTTGAAGCCGTTAAGAGCAGCAGTGCATGAACGGAGATATTTTTCCTGTTTGTGGCTGCTGTTTACTTGTTGTTGTTTTTGACGGTTTTGAGTCAGCATGTGAGATTATGTTGAACTTGATTAATTAATAGGGTCACTCTGATTTTTGATCCCTTGGTGGTCTGTATTGTTGCATGTTTTTGTCATATAAAAGAGCCACTGATTGAGGATGATCATTCCTTGAGCGCACACACCCTCCCCACACCCGTTACAATCACTCACACTGAAACTTGTGGTCTCATTTTGGTTCTTGAGTGCATAACTGTCTCCTGTTTCGATCGAAAATCTCACTGTTAAATGAATGTCATACAGATCAAAGAAAAATGGCTCAAATATTTAGTTGAGACTGGATTCAGTTTTGCCTAATCAAAAATAGTGGATATCTGCAACTGAATTGTAGATAATATCTGTAATTCCAGTTTGAGATATCTACAATTTGATTCTAGTCTAGTCTTTTATTATATATCTTTAATTCGCCTCAATTCAAGATATCTATATGGTTTGTTTTTTTTCAGATATCTTAAATAAAGTTTTGACTAGTCAAAATGGCGTTGTAGATTATCTCAAGCTGGAGTTAGGAATAGTCATAATTTAATTGTAGAAATCTATTATCAAGTTATAGATATCTTGAAATGAATTTTGATTAGAGATATTTGAAATTTAGATATCTATAACTTTCATTCTGCCTAGTCAAAATGTAATTACAGATATCTTGATTCAGAGTTTTGACCAGGCGAAATGACGTTGCAGATATCTGTATACAAATTAGGCCCGGATCCCACTTTGGGCGGGATTAGAGCATGTTTTTAATGCTGTTAGCTAGTTTTATCCTGAAATCAATACCTACATGTTTTTTATTGGTTTTTTACTGTTAAAAAATAAAATAAAAATAAGAACTAATCTGAACTTAAGAATTTTTTTCTCATCTAAGGAAGTTAATGTTTCATCTTTATTAAAGTGAATTTGTGTGAATCTCTCTCATGCATAAATCCTACATCAACAATAACCTACAGTAATTTTAATCATGATCATAAACAGAAATGCATGGCAAACATTGCATGTTGCCAATATTTTTGAGAAACCCGCTGGCTAATGCTAATGAATACAATTTGTGTCATGCTGGAAACGTTTGCAGCCAATGCCATGACTGCTTCTTTCTTCTTCCATTCATAGAAATAAGGAAATTAACCCACTTCTTCTTTGATTATGGCGTTCATGGATATCTAAAATAGAGCAACCTCATGGAAAATAATTTTCTCTAGTCATAATGATGTTTGAGATATCTTTAACTTTCATTCTGCCAAGTCAAATCAGTTATAGAGTTCTAATCATGGTGTTCAACTCTAACCGTCGATCTCACGGTTATATAATAACCCGCAAATCCCTAATCCCAGTCTTCAGTGTCGCATGATCTCTCAGAAATCCTTCTAATATGATTATGATCAATGCTAAAAAAACAGTTTAGCTGCTTAATATTTTGTGTATTTTTTGCACAGGGATGCATGTACACTCGCCTAAAGGATTATTAGGAACACCATACTAATACTGTGTTTGCCCTCACCTTCAGAACTCCCTTAATTCTACGTGACATTGATTCTACAAGGTACTGAAAGCATTCTTGCAGTTGATGGAGATTTGTGGGATGCACATTCAGGGCACGAAGCTCCCGTTCCACCACATCCCAAAGATGCTCTATTGGGTTGAGATCTGGTGACTGTGGGGGCCATTTTAGTACAGTGAACTCATTGTCATGTTCAAGAAACCAATTTGAAATGATTTGAGCTTTGTGACATGGTGCATTATCCTGCTGGAAGTAGCCATCAGAGGATGGGTACATGGTGGCCATAAAGGGATGGACATGGTCAGAAACAATGCTCAGGTAGGCCTTGGGATTTAAACAATGTCCAATTGTCACTAAGGGGCCTAAAGTGTGCCAAGAAAACATCCCCCACACCATTACACCACCACCACCAGCCTGCACAGTGGTAACAAGGCATGATGGATCCATGTTCTCTTTCTGTTCACTTTCATGTGTTCAAATGGGTGCACTTGTAATGCACGATTGCACTAGAAAGAGAGCTGTAAAAATGGCCTTTTGTTGGATTGCAGTATGTGACTGTAATTTAAAGTGTACTATAATCGTAGTTAAACATTCATGATCAGATCAAATAATCACTACAGACCCACTTGGTAATAAACTTAGCAACCAATCCAAATACTTAGCAGCCACATAGCAACACTCATGCTGGCGACTTCGGCATGGGTAAGCTCTGCTGATATTTCTTCTGCTAGAGGCTTGTTGTGAAGTGAGGTTGTCCCAGATTGTTTAGAATATGAAAATGTTTTTTTTTACTCATTTTGTGACTGTTTTTTGTATTTGGCTTCTTGTGGTTTAATTTTGAGTTGCTCACACACACTTGCGCTGAGAAGCGAAAGAGTTGCGGTCTGGTATGTGTATCTGATTAGTAGTGAGATTCTAGATGTCTACACCTTAACCAGGCTGCAGTTTCGTTTCTCTTTCTTTTCCCTCTCTTATATTCTTGCTTTCTCTCTCTCACTCGCTCACACATACATATAATGGATGTAGGGCACCAGGAGACCAGAAGGTTTTATCCGGTAACAGTCAATGTGATTACTTTAATTGCATAGGTGTTGTGTTATGCTGCCACGTATAAAGCCGTATTGTACCGTTCTTGAAAATCTTGTTGTTTGATGACACACTACTCTTGTTTCAATGGTAGTTGTGGTTCATATACCTGCTTTGATGTACTGAAATAAATGTGACGTCTCAGTTGACTCCTGAGGTAATTACTTTCAATTGTCTTTCATTCCTTTCACAACCTTTTACGTCATTTCTTCTTCTCTTTCAGGTGTCTGGCTGCATGGTGCTGATTCGGAGCCGCTGGTAATGACTGCAAGATCTAAGCTTCGGAGTTCAGCGGTGCAGAGCCACCATCACATCACTGACTGAAAGGAGGCGGCTTTTGTGTCTGAATCAGAAGAGATTGCAAATGAGGTGCCGCTATTGTCTTTCCAAGTGAAACCGAGATGCTGTTGAGAGAGTGAAGTTTGGATCTAAAGCTAGGACAACTTTCATTTGTATCAGGATGAAATATGTGCATGTAGTTGCACAGTGAGGCAGACTTCATGTGAGTAATTTGAGGTTCGAGTTTTACAATATATTGATATATTTTTAATAAACAATATGGAATGAGGCAATGCAGTTTATATCGATATACAGTAGTTCGATACGAGCACGTCTAAAAAAAAAAAAAAAGCGGACAGCACAGAGTGAGCTGCTGCAGGGAAAGTGCATCATCTTATTTGTCCTAAATATGAGACATGCTTTATATTAAAGAGTTCAATATAGGTGGTAAGATATAACGCGTAAAGTTTATAGTGACGGATACATGTGCTGACAGATATTTACGTTGTTTAATGTGTTTAAAATTTAGTGCTTTCCTCTGTGCATAACTTGCATTTCACAGGTATATTCTCCATCTGTAAATGTTAGAAACAAAAATGTCCATTTTGCTGTCAGGAGTGAATCTCCGCAAAACGTCACTGACTTCAGTGAACAAGCGCCGACGGAGCACAATATAGTAGGACAATAATTCAGACTAAAATATATATATATGTTGTTAAAATATGCAGCCTACATGGTTACATTCAGTATAGTTGTTTTCATAGCCTTCAATATGAACATTGTTTTAAAAGAGAAACACATGATGATAGAAATACCCAGGCTGATCGCCGTTCAACCAAAAAATACGAGATATGATTTTTTTTTTTTTTTGGTTATATCGCCAAGCACTATTTTGAGGTTAAACATTTTAGGTCTGCATGATTTGCTTGGTAAAAAGTCTGTTTAAAAATTTCCATTAAAAAAAGATGCTCCTGTTTCTTTGTAGGGCTGAACAATTTGGCCATAAATGACTTAAAATAAGAAATATTCCTACTGTAATAGTTCACTGTAAAAAAAATGTAAGAAAAATAAGTACAATACAACTTTAAAATGACTATACTAGAATGATAATTTAAGTGTTTAACCATTAAGCTTTAACATTTCTCATTATAAGTTTGGGAAGATGGTTGACACATGTTGCGTTCCCAAATACACAATGTAAGTGACCCAAAATAGCACATGCAGAGATGCGAACCAAGCCGCTCTGAGACACTGAACACAGCGGATGCACAATGCTGCTCTTCACTCATTTAATTAAGTCATTGCAATATCCATATTGCGATTTTTGGTTTTATCGTGATTAACTGTGCAGTCCTAAAACATGTGTTGAACTGTATTAAAAAGTCTTATTCACTTTCTTAGTCTTCCAGTCTCACTTTTTTCTTATATCTTTCTTTTTATCTAATGTCCTAGTGAACGTAATGGAGGCTCAGTTTGGCCTAGGCTAAGGCATCTCTGATCTTCACTCCTCCTTTACACTCTCTTGCCCTCCTCTCATTCTCTCGAGAGGAGGGGTACATTATCTCCTGTACCACCCTTGACAGCAAACAGTGGTAAATTTCGAACGTAAAGAGGCAAACACTCTTCAAGCAAGCAATCGGCTGCCGATGAAGTCCCGCCAGACATTGAAGGAGGAGGTGTCCGGCTCAGAGACGATGTCGCAAGAGGAGGGCCAAATGACTCAATCCTCCCAAACGTACTTCCACAACGCCTCCGCTCCCGATGCAGAGCTATCGGCGAAACTGTACAAGCGAGAAACTGCGGCCAAACCTTACACTGTGGTCATTGACAACACGGCTGCGAGGCCAGAATCGCATATGTCCTCAGACCTGAATACCCATCCTGCCCCGACTCAAGCGTTTTACCGGGAAGGGTCCGGAGCAGCTGTGACGAAGAGTGGGAATGGAGGGACGTCAGAAGATTCTGAAGCTGAAGAGGAAGCCGGGGCAGAGGACGAATTTAAACGAGGGCAGATCATCGTAGAGGTCAACCTCAATAATCAGACTCTGCACGTATCCAAAGGAGATGATGCGGAAAATACGAACACTGCAGGAGATGACAAGAGCAATAGTGAGGAGGAAGAAGATGATGATGAGGAGGAGGAGGAAGAGGAGGAGGAAGAAGAAGAAGATGATAGCATTGAAGAAGACTACAGCGATGAGGATGATCAAGATGAAGAGGAGGAGAACAACAATCGGCGAACAAGAGCGCAACGGGCACACAGGGGTAGATCGGCTTCTTCGCCGCGTCGCAAGAGTCGTCGTGTAGCCCCTTCGCCGACAGGAAACGTAACCACAACGAACGCCGGTGTGACAACCAGGGGGCGGAGGAAGAATGCAAACTCCACGCGCCAAAAGCGCAGACCTGCCAAGGAGGCCAAAGGCTCCACCGCCTCTGCCTCTGGAGCCAAGGACGAGGGTGAGGAGAAAGAGACGCTAGTGTGTGAAAAATGTCCACGTGTGTTCAACACCCGCTGGTACCTGGAGAAGCACATGAATGTGACGCACAGACGCATGCAGATCTGCGACAAGTGCGGAAAGAAGTTCGTGCTGGAGAGTGAACTGGCTCTTCACCAGCAGACGGACTGCGAGAAGAACATCCAGGTAAGAGGATCATCCCGACTCTTCATGCCTCATTTTTAGTAAATTAACTCAATTAAAAGACAAGGCACTGTACACTTTTCACAAGTATTCTTAATAGTAATAATACAAATATTGTTAATATTAGGTCATATTTAATGAGACGGAAGCAGAAATAAGGCCTTTTTGTTCAATTTCACTGAATTTTGTAGAAAAAAGTTTGGGGTCAGTAACAGAAAATGTTATACTTTTGTTCAGCAAGGATGCATTAAATTGATCAAAAGTGATAGTTTAAACATTTAGATAATGTTTCTTGATCATCATTTTACACAGGGGAAAAACTAACTGTTTTAAGGGACAGAGGGGCAATCGTGGCCTAATTGTTAGTCTCGTGGTCTTATGGATAGAGTGAGACTGGTAACCTGAAGGTTGTGGGGTTGATTCTCAATACTGGCAGGAAATGACTGAGGTGCCCTTAAGCAAGGCACCAAACCCCCAATCACTCCCCGGACGCCACAGCAAAAAGGGCTGTCCACTGCGCGTGTATGTGTGTGCTGTTCATTACTTACTCCTACTAATGTGTGTGCACTAACTTGAATGATGGATTAAATGGTCCTTGGATGAGTACAAATTTTGAATATGGGTTACCATACTTGGCCTTCAAATCTCATATTTTTGTTCCCACTGCATAAAGCTATACATTTTTTATATGATCTCCTTCAATGCATTCAGTAATTTTGTTACTGTATTTTTAAAATGAACATTTTAACGACACTATATTTATTGAAGGAAAATAAATAATTGTATTTATCAAAATAAAGAGAAAATTGTACAGACTTTGTTGAAGTGATTGTTTTGAACAAGCATTAACTTAATTAATTGCACACCTTTCCATCTCTTACATTTGTTTTTATAGATTTTTAAAACCAAACACACCACATTTATTTACACATTGATGTTTTTTTTCACAGTTTTGAAAGAAAATCACAGTTTTGTTAAGGTGTGCCTTTAGCCCCTTTGTCCCTGCTGTTTTTAAACGCAATCTTTTTTGAATCTCAGATCTGTAAATCAGTAGATTTTAAGTATGAAGTGCATTGAATTAGAGGTTGTAAATGTGCTAATGTCAGTCCTGACCAGCAGAGGGAGACTTCATTCTTGTTTAGAATGTCATTGAGACTCAAATAAATGGGTCTGAGAGAAGATATAGGCCTACTGTACTGTATCACAATGTATCTGTTTGTGTTCCAGTGTGTGTCTTGTAATAAGTCCTTTAAGAAGCTGTGGTCCCTCCACGAGCATATTAAGATTGTCCATGGATTTGCAGAGAAGAAATTTGCCTGTGACATTTGTGAGAAGAAGTTCTACACCATGGCCCATGTCCGTAAGCACATGGTCGGTACGTATAGTAAACATGCGCACAGACACACTTCAGCACTGCCCTCTCAAACACCATCAAGATATCTTTTCAAATGTCTACATAGCCACAAAATACACTACTAGAGAGACATACTTGTGTCTAATACAATAGTTCTTCTTTCTGTCTCTAGCTCACACAAAGGACATGCCATTTACCTGTGAAACCTGTGGAAAATCTTTTAAACGCAGCATGTCTCTGAAAGTGCATTCACTGCAGCATTCAGGAGAGAAGCCCTTCCGCTGTGAGGTATGAACACATACGACACACTCCAAAACTGATATTGTGATTGAGAGAAGTAAAAGTACAAATACAAATAGTAAAATGCAAAATGCTAGCCATGTAATCATGTATTAAGGATGTGTTAGGGTTAGTTCACCCACAAATGAAAATTCTGTCAGTAATTACTCACCCTCATGTTGTTCCAACCCTGTAAGACTATATATTTGTAAGAAAATATATTTGTTTGAGAGGGAAGCTGTGCGCAAACACTAATATATATTATTTTTCCAAAAATAAAAAAAGCACCCCAGAAAAAAAGGGCACTTTCTCTCCAAGAATAAAAAGGGCAGGTTCTCAACCCCCCTTTGATGTCGATGTGTGCATCGAGGTAAGGCAAGCAGATAGTTTTGAACACTGGCTGGTTATGTATTTTTTCAAATATGCATTTTGAATAATTTTTAACCCAAAAAAGCTACGGACTGCGGCTTTAAAGTGTAAATTGCAGGTTAAATTTTTCACGAAGATAATGCAATGTCCCTACTAAACATAAAGATAACTGCCCACAATTGTTTCTTATGTTTTTTTACACCAAAATGCTGCATATAATATGAAAAGTTGGTACCTTTTACAGTGGTTTTAAGCACGCCCCCTCCCTTCCACTGGGTTGGGCATGACGTCATAAAAGGGACTCCAAGCTTTTACTGTCTATGCCTGGTCTTGTGGTCTATGCTCCAAGGCTAGAGTTACCATTAGTCTAAACGACAAGCAGGCTAGCAGTTATATTGGAGACCTGGCTAACAAAAGTGGTTATTTAATGTGTTTGTGCGGGATGTACGAATACATCAAAAACCGGGGGAGAGGCTCCACATGTTGCCCAAGAACAAACGACTGATTCGTGCCTGTAAGTGTTAGCATTCCCGAGGCACGTTGTGTCCGAGCCCAGCCCGTCCTGACACATTAACTGTAATTATGTGCCCGAACCTGATTTAAACCCGACCATTTTTTAATACGTGGGTCATTATAATAACTACTTTCTATGTTACTTTCTCCCACCAGCCACATTTATGTTTTGTCCCGCTCCCGTCCGCAAAAATACTTTTTTTCTGTACCTCCAAATACTTTCAAGTTAGTTGTATGTGTCGCCACCATAGACATCAGCATAAATGTTCCTGATAAATTATTTGTTATTAAAGCATTAACACACAAACGACACTGTTAGAACATAAAAACAAGCAGGCTAACTTACAGTCATGCTTGGTTTGGCATGACTGCATGCAAAGTGTGCTCCCATAATAATTCCTAAAAAGCTGACATCAGTTCATTGCAATCTCACACATCTCTATTATTATTATCAATGAATATTTCATAATATATACACTTTGTTTGTTATAATTAGAGGATTTGCCAGCATACAGAATTCATCAATGAACAAAAAGTCAGATTTGAGCGGTTAGGGGAGTCTATTGTAAATGCTTCTGATTGGCCATTGCGTGGCATGGCTATGCCGCTCAATGCTGCAAACATGATATAGAAACTCTGGCCTGTAAATCGTTTCTATTTTGTTTTAATAGTTCTTATTGCTTTTTTGCAACAGATGAATAAAAATTTATTCGATTTTATGTTTTAATTCATAGATATTTCTATCTATGTTGTCTAAGTTGTTTTGATATTTACATATCATATGTAAATGATATTTTCTTCAACCCCCATTTATTTGTCTTTGACTGTTTCTTGCCGTTTTGAACACTAGTGACATCTTTTATTAATTTGAAAAAAAAAAAATTCACTAATCTGTCATTTGAAACTTTAAAATACATTCCTGAAGTGTAATAACATATTAAACAAACAGTATTAAAATAATTATGTTTATAAATGTTTGAGTTTCCCGCTTGTCCATATTTACAGCTTTAATTTGTTTTTGGGAATGCTATAAAACACCACATCCACACAGCAGAATATAGACATGCACAAACAACACTGTATTTCTGTATATTTGAAAAGGAGTGTGAATAAAGATTAGCTTATTACTGTTTCTAGCATTTTGTTTGTTCGCATTTGTTTACTGACGTCTTTTGGCCCATTTATGTAACCAGACTGGAGCTTTTCTGAAAGGGCTGTTTCGCAGTCTGGGACGAGCACTTGTTTGTAAATACACAACAGAAAATACATTTGGACTCTAGCATTTTAGAAAATATCATTTTTTTTTTCTTTTCAATTATACTTCTGGGTATTTTTTTTAGCGATTGTCCTAACCAAGGAGGTTGGAAAACTAGCCGTTAACATTCACATTTTTTTCAATGACAGTTTGCCTGATAGGTTGGGGGGATAAAAACGGATACAAGAGCATATTGACTATATATTGACTAAATTTAAAGGATATTTTTATCAGATTGCAAAAGCTATGATTTTACAATTGTATGCACTGAATGTACAATTATATTGTTTGTTCTCTACCGGCTAAAAAATAAAATTGCATGTGTCATGTTTTTGTTGCGGAACTGCTCGTCTCTGCACGGATGAATGTGGTTCAAGGCACTGGACATCTTATCAGAGTGAATGGAAAAATAAATCATGGTTTCTTTGTCTTTACAGCCGGTTATTCCTGTGAATTTTGCTGTTTAATTTTTTTCTCATTTATTTATGACAACAAACTTTTAGCTTGACGCTACTTGCTGCCTGAGCTACTTTTATCTGTGTATAAATATGACCCGACGTCCTGATAGCAGCACAGCTCTAAAATATAAATCATTATAATGGCTTTGTCAAAGTGTATCTTGGTAAAGAAACAGTTTAGAAGATGTTTATTTGCTCTCTCTCATTAATAACATTTTGTTATTTTATCGACCCCCCCCCCCCCAAAAAAAAAGGTTACATAGTATAGCTCTAAAATAAACAATGTAACAAATTGCTGTTTGATTTATATTTATTTCGTCGTCTTGTGGACTGTCGATAAAAAATGAGGTGTTTGTTGATCTTTTCCACCTAATTGAAATATTTTTTTTATTTCAAATGTAAATGTAACTTTTGCAAATATGTGTGAAAATTTCAAACTGTGGACAGACAAATTGCTTGTCTCTTCAGATCAATGTGAGGATCAGTTTGCTCTGTACAGGTTCATTTTAAATCTGAATTTTATGTATTCTCTTTTAATTTTTGGGGGGCATCTTTTCCATGATAACGCATTACGGGGTGTGTACATGATTTTGTGAGGGTGGTCAGGGTGGGGCTCATTGGTTTCACTTAAAGGTGCCATATGACAGAGTCTGAATGAGTGGGATTGGCCTGCTTCCTATAAATAGTATTTTAATGACAGGCTTATGAACCCTAATGACAGGTTATTATGATCAGATTACAAACTTGGGATTGCTTCAGTCTGGCCCTGATTTGAAGTGAGGCTGAACCAGCATCCACCCACATGCTGTCTATTTCTGTTTCTGTGTGTGTAGAACTGCGACGAGAGGTTCCAGTACAAATACCAGCTGCGGTCTCATATGAGCATTCACATAGGACACAAGCAGTTCATGTGCCAGTGGTGTGGCAAAGACTTCAACATGAAGCAGTATTTCGATGAGCACATGAAGACACACACAGGTGAGGTGCACAAACACAAACATTTAAAACTTGTGGAGAGTAAATAAAGATTGACTGTCTCTCTTGTTCTCTTTTAAGCATATTTTGTGAGTAATTTTACTATAATAATGATTATTCTAATCTACAGTGGCTCCCCCCCCCAAAAAAGTGGGCACACTTAAAAATGAATGCCATTGTGTCTCATAACAAACCAAATTAAATTTGCAGCAACTTTTTTTTTCTCTTTTTTTCTAGCAAAACTAGGGGAAAAAAAGTTAGGTTTTCAACAATAAAATTACTTATACACTTTCTAAAGGCCATTGCACACTGAGTCCGACGTTTTCGTATGCTTTTTTTTTCGTATTTTTGATTCGGTGGCTCTGAATTGTCAAAAAAACATTTTAAACTCCATTCAAACTGCTTGCTATGTATGCGAAAAAACGCAGAAAATCGAACCCGATTAAATTTTTTTTATGACGGACGAAAGTTTCAGAGGCAGTGTGCAAGCGTGATTGACATAACGTGAGGACGTATTTATTTTTTAACGTGCGGAAATTTTGGATGCGAATTTCGGACTCAGTGTGCAATGGCCTTTAATGTTACACTAAGTGGAGCATGTCTATATTGCACTCCAAAAAAGTTCATGAAACAAGACTACAACAATTCCGTTCAAAAAGATTAATGTATTTAGTGTTTAAAGACCTAATTAAAAATATATATAAATTAAAAAGTTTCTGTAAGGTTTATTGAAGATTTATGTTCTTCGAATGCCTTACTGGTAGATCTACATGTGTAATTTTAGAGTTTAACCTTGGAGCAGACACATTTAAACTCTTGTGGTTAAACACTCCCAGATGTTCTCTATAATAACGCCACACACACCACGTTTAACTCAAAACTCTCTTGTTGCCCGTTTGTGTTTATTGCCAGTGAATGAAACAAGTTTTCGTTTCTCTTTCCTATCCTTCTGTTTCTCTTCAGGTGAGAAGCCATTCATCTGTGAGATCTGTGGGAAGAGTTTCACCAGTCGGCCCAATATGAAGCGGCACCGGCGCACACACACCGGGGAAAAGCCGTACCCTTGCGAAATCTGCGGCCAGCGTTTCCGCTTTTCCAACATGCTTAAGGCGCACCGAGAGAAGTGTTTCCGGGTCACCAGTCCAGTGACCCTTCAGCCTGCCAGCATGGGGCTTTCCATTCACCTTACCGGCCACACCCCGTCTTCAAGCCACACCCCTACACCAACCCAGCCCACTCAGTCGACGCCCGTGGGCCCCGTAATGGTCAATCCTGCCACGGGAGGGCCTCTGCCGCAACGTGCGGTCACCGTTCATGGCTTCTCTCATTTGCACATGCAGACCGTGCCCGCACAACATCACCCTGCCCACCATCACACAGGACACGCCCCCATGACCAGCCACGCCCCTCAGCCAATCTCAGTGCAGCCTTCTGTCCTGCCTCCTCCCCCCGCCCTCTTTAAGAGCGAGCCAATAAACCACTGCGCCCACGAGGACGCCTACCTGCGACAGGGCGCCGCTCCGCAACACCACTGAAACGCTCTCTCGAACACAAACTCACTAATGTGAAATCAGGTGCTTGCTGGAGAATAGGGCGGTGAAATGCAACATGTATGTATGTGTGTGTGTGTGTGTGTGTGTGACAGAAAACTGAAACTACAAACCTAATTGCCACTAGCACTCGTGACCAAACAGGATTGTTAGACAACTTCTCTGTGAACTCAAGAATTTCATAAAGCATTACTAGGATTCACTTCACATCACTTCAAACTCGTGTCACAATGATCAAGATGCCATTGGGGTTTCAATGGCACAACACGTTTCTTTTTCTCTGCCTCTTTATCGACTCAGCTGCTTTTGCAAAGGTTCTACGGGTTCAAACGTCCACAAGTTAAAGGTCTACATTTCACAAATGCAGTGTCTTTAGAAATGCAGGTCTTCCCGACAACTGAAAATATTGATATTCTAGTGCACAAGTCGTCACACAAACATAGTATACAGCACTTAAGCAGTAAACTCAGTGTAGTCTATATGACTGAAACTTTTCTGTTGCCTGATTGTGATTGTCAATGATTTTATTAAAATATTGGAGTTTTCTTTTTTCTTTTTTTTTCTTTTTATTATTCAATAAAAATATGCTTACTGGGTAATGCCTGTAGCTCTCCGGCGTGTTCAGTCGGAGGTTGAGACTGTTAAGGAAGACCGATGCTGTGATGTGTCATAGGTAGAATGCAACTAATGGTGAACAAAAGATCATTAATTAGTTTTACTGTATGTTCCATACAATCTAACTCGCTTAACCAATATTTTTATTTCTATAATGTAGATAAACATGCTCTGTGAGACTTTAAAAATGAAAAACGTGTGTGTGTGTGTGTCTTTGTAGCTGATCATATGCCTGTGGTGCTGGTATCAAAAGCTGCTTTTTAGTTGATCTGTCTTTTCCTGGTACATGGTTCTTTATCATGCTGATGAGTAGTGTGTGTTTGAGAGAGAGTGAGAGAGTGAGTGAGTGTTAAAATGGTGACGTTAGGAGCAGCACAGATATAATGATGGGAAGTTTTGAGTCAATCGGACTTGATTGATTGTGAATTTTTTTTTGTCCTCTCTCATTAGACCATCTGTCCTCTGCACTTTACTGACAAGTAAATGGTTTGCGTAACTGACAAAGAATTGTTTATCACGTGTCTGACACGTGAAAGATGGCTGACTGTTGGAAAATGGGGAGAATCACATGGGGATTTGGTTGGGATCCCTTGTTATACATCAAATGATTAGTTTGTCCTTTAAGAAGTTGTGTTTTGCCTTCAAGCCCTGCCCTCTTTAACTGAGGCTGTCATCGGTTCAGATGGCTGTCAATCGTGTCCTTTTTTTTAACTGTGTGTTTTGGGCTACTTGGATTCTCTCCATTCTCCGTCAGTTGATGGAATGCACTTTCTAATAAAACCTTACTAGATAAGAAAAATAAGCAGACGATAATAATGTCTATTCTTGTGAGGTGTTTTTAATCAAATCTCTTCTCAGCTAGTCTGTTTCAACCTGTCTATCCTCTCAATTTCAGCAGTTTTATTCTTAGCCTTGTGTCTGGCACAGAAAAGTCTGACCTTCATTAAGTTCTGTTTTATATTGTTTTCTTGTTTTTGAGACACCATGTTTGACCTGCATTAATGTTGGGCCTTTTTTATATTGTGCATTTAACACTTTCTGCTAACTTTAAACTAGTAAAAAAAAAAATGAATTAGCCACAAGCCACTTGTCTACATTTTTACATTGTAAAGTTTGTTTTTTGAGAAAGAAAGAAAGCAGTATATATGGAAAGTGGGTCATTTTAATGACTAGAATGGGCCTGTTTCATGATATGACCTCAATCTCTTTATACCTTTGACCTTGTTTAGCCTAGTGAAATATGTGATTAGATAAAGTTATATGCTAGTTGCTTTGGGTTTAGTGTCACCTTGATATTTTAAAATCATGTTTTAAAAAACAAGCACTTTTAAATGTTAAACTATTAAACATTTTTTTGCAAAAAAAAAAAAAAACTGGGCTAGTTTTACATAAAACTATAGGTGTGTGTGTGTGTGTGTGTGTTGAAAGCTTAACAGACATCATAAGTATGTGATTGGAGAGTCCTGACTGATTAGTCACCTGACAACTGGTGATGAAAAACAAAATGGAGGACATTTCCATTAAATGTTCTTGACAATGTCATGCATTTGATATCATTATCTGTGTAGAGTTACGTGTTCGATTGCATTGACAGATACTCTCCGAATAAATCAATAGTCTTTCTCTTTTTGTTTCTTCTGCCCCACTTAGACTTGGAGAAGAGTTCATTTGTATCTAACATCGACTGTCTGTTATAGGCTGACATACATGGCCATCAAGTAGCCTATACTATCAAGACTTTCCTGTTTTTGGAATGTTGATGATACAAGTTTTATTTTTCACCCCACCCCAAAATAGCCTTTTTTATTTTTTATTTTTTTACTAGCTGTCATTTGGGTTTTTACAGAAATAACTGAAGTAGCCTAGGGCTACAGGCTATTAAACAACTAAACTTGACTACGTCCTGCCTGTACTCGTCTAAGATTACATGTTACCTATATTAAATCTTCACCCATTACAAAATTCTCAGATTTAGCTCAATCACAAATAATGACAGAATGTCTACTGGTATTTTTGTTTTGTTGTTGAACCGTGTTGCGATTTTTTTTTTGTTTTGTTGTTTTAAAGTACATTCAATGTTCTCTGAAAACAAATGTTGTTGTAACATATACAGTAGGCTACCTATAACCCTATGATTATGCAAAAGGGTAGTGCTGTCGATCGATTTAAAATTAACTAATTATTAACACATTTTTCTGTAGCCTAATTAATCACGATTACCCCTGATAGCACACGTACATCACAGAGACATCTATTTGATGTGTGTGTTTGTGTGTTTACATCTGGAAGATGTATTTTTTAGAGTGTTTGCTCATCTGCAATACGTCTAGGGCGTTTCCTGTCAGATGTCAAATAGACGTTTAGAAGATGTCTTTAAGATGTAATGATTTAATTTATGTTAAACTGACAACATAAAGATGTCTATCAGATGTTAGTAAACAGCAGATGCTTTCCAGATGAAGTGATCTTTAACAGACATCTTTCAGACGTATGTGTGCTATCTATCGTATACCATTACATTTTTAATACGTTATATTTTTATAATGAATAAAAATACCAGTAAATGAATGAACACCAGTGGTGAAACTGATGTCTCTTACATGGATTCCTATTCGTTAAACAAAACTGAAAGCTATCATTTTTAACATTTATTAGACTTTTCAAAAAATATAACCTCTTAATTGAAGTGAACTTAAAACATCGCATTTAGCTGTGCCCTTTGATAGATCACATATTCACCAAAAAAAAAAAAAAAAGTTATTGTTTTCGTTGTTTTAGACGCATGTAACCAGTGCTTAATTTGAGCCTTATCCTGTTCAGAAAAATTTCAAATTTTGGATTTTTGCGTTTCGGCATGGTTTTTAAACGATCTGGCGACGGTGCGTGCACACTGGCGTGAAGCGAGCGTGTTCAGTTCAGTTCTGGGGAGTGAGCAAAGCTCAACTTCCATGAGAATTGATTGAAAACGCTGCTTTCAAAGTACGGGTTAATGCAAATGTAGGCCTATGTAGAGGTTATATTTTGCTATCAGCTGTCTTACGTTCAGAATTCACTATCATGTTGCTTTGCTAAAGCCTACTGTATTTGGAGAGTAGCGTCAAGTTCAGAGATGGTCAGTGCGTTAGTCACAGTGCCTTTTAATTGCTGTTTTTGATCCGGCATTATTTATTTTCAAATTAAGCACTGCATGTAACTTTATAAGCAGCTTTAAGATGTTCAGGTCTAAGAGGTAGGCTAGATCTTGACTGCATACATTATAAAAGGTCTTCTTGCATCACTTAGGAGGATGTCAGAGCAGTTTGGATACAGTGATGAATGAGAGGCGTGGCCCATACGACGCGCGTCACTGTGGTTGAATAAAGCACGATCGGACTATACATCTCCAGCACTTTTGAGCAGCCAGGCGGACAGACGCAGGAACAGCGATAGGTGATGAATAACTAAACAGCGAAAGGTAATTTGCTGATTTACTGGGCAATTCCATTACGCCCTATCCTTTTTTTGGTATAGCCTATTTATATCCTGTGGTGGACTATACCACTACATAGCCTACCTTTTAAGCGTATTTAAAATATTTTGTAATTTAAAGATTTACTGAATTTGAAAGCAATACCTGGAGCCAAACGCAGCAAAAATCTGGTATTTCCAATTTGTTGCATAATCTGTACTACTGTAATGCATGTAAAGTGAAAGCAAGGTTGAATATGACATAATCACGTTGTTTAATAACTTGTGTTATGGCTGTAACAGTAGCCTACAATTTGTAGACGTTCTGTAGAAACTATTCTCGCTTAGGCTACTAAAACATTTCTAAGTGAGTATTTGGAAATTGTAATGTCATATTGTCCTGTATTTGTCTGTTATAGGTTGACACTGTGCAGCGGCGCGTTGAAGGTGAAAACCGGTGAGTTGCATAATCATACTGAGACTGAAAGATTAAAAACTACGGTGAGTCGATTCACTGATACTGGTTTACGAGGGCAAAAAACGCCACATTATTTTAGTATTCGACAATCGACAATATTTCAACACATTAAAATGTTGTCGTTTACTAAGCTACATCTTAAAACCATGTCCTCAGACAATAAATCAAGGCTTTACATTAATAAAAATATTAACTTAAAAAATGGGATCTTTTAAAGATAATGGTTGAAGGAAGACATTAATATGTAATAAAATATAGTGTAAGTTCTGTTAAACTGCCTTGACATTTCAAAAGATAATTGCATTATTAGAAAATCAGGCTGATACCATAATGTAGTCTAAATGAATTAATTTAACATTTGTCTATATATAAAATAAACATATGACATCTGTATCTGACCGTGTAGATGCATATTGACACAAGCTTGTAAGAGAATGGAAGAGGCAGGAGACTCTGCTATGAATTGATTTTAGTCCACAGACTATATAAGTCTTAAAACCTTTGGAACATCAATGGCTGTAAATATATTTAAATACATCTAAATTGTTATTTTTGTATATATATATATATATATATAATAGGGTTAAAGTTTTATCTAGGCTACTTCACTGCTGACTTTCAGTGTTTCTCCTTCCTGCTTCTTTATAATTTCTTTTGTCTGCTTGAAGCTCTGGCATAAATGCATTGCTCTTTTCTTCTGCAGAGAAGACGAAGAAGAAAAAGACATCTGTGCTGCTCTTCCCTCCTGTCCATGATATGATGCGGGACTCTGTCTTCAACTGCTGCGTTTCCCCAGGCCATCCCCCTGGAGGAGTGGAGGAGCACCACCAACATAGAAGCAGAGCTCACACTCCGCCGCCTAATGATAGGCGTTTCCTTATATTCTTTGACTTTGATGAGACCCTGGTGGATGAGTGCACTGACGACTCTATAGTGACTGTGGCGCCAGGTGGAGTCCTGCCCGGCTGGCTGAAGGACACTTACCGTCCTGGCCACTACAATGAGTACATGCAGCGTGTGCTGGCCTACCTCGCCGAACAGGGCATCACCCCGGCAGCTATTCGAGACACAGTGGTAAAGCTCCCTCCTTGCCCAGGCATCCCCACTTTGATGCAATTCCTGCTTTCCCAGCCATCAAGAGACTTTGAAGTGGTTTGCGTGTCTGATGCCAATACTGTCTTCATCGAGACGTGGCTGCAGCACCTAGGCTTCCGCCCACTGTTTCTGCGTATTTTCACCAACCCGGCTCACTTTGATGATAATGGGCAGCTTCAGCTTCGGCCCTTCCACTCCCATGAGTGCCTGCGGTGCCCAGCAAACATGTGCAAAGCGGTGGTGGTAAGGCAGTACGTGGCCCAGCGCATACGTGAGAGAGGCGGGCGGCCCTTTCAGAAGGTTCTGTATGTGGGCGATGGGGCCAATGACTTTTGCCCATCACTCACTCTGTCACCGGGTGATATAGCATTCCCACGCCGGGACTTCCCAATGCATAAACTGATTCAAGAGATGGAGGAAGCCAAACCTGGAGAGTTCAAGGCAAGTGTGGTGCCCTGGAACAGTGGAGAGGATGTCATCAACACCCTGAGGAAGATAATAGAGAGGCCCTAAATATATAACCTACACCTAAACAAGGCCCTCAATATGTTCACAGATTTCTTGTTACATTCCAAACTCTAATATCACCTTAGTTCTGTTGATTGAAACTGCCATATTCAGACACATAACAATGACTCCATTGTTAACAACAAAATGAGTTCAGGATCTTTTAATAACATCCACAGCTAATGACTGTGTGCAGTTCAAATGACACTCCAATAAACTGTACTTTGAAAATGTCAAGCCATCTAAAAGCTTTACACACACTTACAGTATATTTAGATTTACAGATATGAGCATGAATATATGCGTGTGACTATCTCTTAGACTTTTTCCTGATTGCATTAGCATGAATACTGGCCAGTAGAATATCTCCTTAAATTAGTTAGTATTTGCCACTGAAATATTGTATGTATTAGATGATATGTATTTTATTAGTAAACTTGAACCCATCCTCTGCTTGGGAGTGCTCAGTAGTTGTTTTAATCTGTGTTTGGTTGTGTGTTTGTCAGACTATGGATCTGATATAAATTAACCTCATCAGCAAAGTATTTTACTCAAATCTGTGTCTTGTATGTTTTGACCCCTCACCCCAACACCTGTCATGTGTCTTCTTACATGGGTTTAAGGATATATATGAACACAATGAAATCAAATTCCAGAATCCACTCAAGTCTTGTTGTCTTGTCTAGCACTTTTCACAATACATCTTGGGTTTTTTTAAAACCAGAATCTGAGTAAATTACACTAAAAAGTTTGGAAAAAAATATAGGTTTAATTGCTATGAACAGATAGTTGCATCTTTATGTTGGTCACAATTTCTCCAGTGTGAACATTCTTAAGCATTACCTGTTATCGTAGAGGACTGCATACCTTCAGGAGAAATTGACTATATGTCTAGCACTATCTTTACTATTTTAGTTGTAGTGAATTCCTGTATGTTGGTAGTTGTATGTAATAGGTTGACTGTTTTAGCCATTTTCTTTATATTAAATCAGAATGCTTACACTCTTCTATGACCTTATAATCAAGGTCATTGTGAACATTGTGATCACCTCAGACAACATGTAGCTTCAAGGGTTTATATGAATGCATATTTAATGAGATATTGGCTCATTTGCATATTTTATTTTAATTTTTTAGACAAAGTGTAATACAAAACGTATTTCTCTTAATATGAAGATTAGTCTTTTAGAAATGTATGAGGATATCTAAGTTATAAAGGGAAGAAAAAGTCCCATTCACCTGTGGTGTCATTATAGGGTCACCTAATCTTAGTTATTTCGTCCCGGTTAGAGATTTTGGCACACATCACATGTTGTTCAATTGAGTCATATTAGTCTAGAACAGTTGAGATATTCTCCGCTAAATAAAGTGCAAATCTTACCCAGGACAAATTCCCCAAATATCGACCAAGAAGTAAAACCTAACAGCAAACACTCATCTCCACCTGGTGGCCGCATACGAGATCTTTTTAAAGAGACCGCGCGTATCAAAACAATAACTCCTTTCTCACTGGTCAGCTGCGAGCACGTGACTTCACAGCTGATTTCCGTGCATGGCGTGTTTTTGCAGGATCAGATGTTCGTCCTTACCTCGACGAGGCATGAATACGCTTCTCATGATCGCAGTGGAATCAGCCGTGGCATACTGACACACAGCTCCTCCCTGCGCTGACAGTAGATTCACTGTCGTTATGGCCCAGGCTGCACAGATAAACGTCCTCGATATCAACACTCCTCTTAGAGTGGAGCACGACAAGAAAAGACGACAATTCAGCATCCGACTGAACGGTTAGTAATGCGGCAGATAACGAGATGGGGGAGGAGAAAAAACACCGTCCTCTCGCCTGCCTTTTGTTTATTATATTTAGCTTCTCAACACGATAAACATGTTATCTAATAGAATCCGTCCTTGATATGTGTTTTGCCTTGTTGTTTATGTAAACGTCGTTACATGCTTTGATCTCAGTAGGTAATTGGAAATGACATGAACTAGTTGTTTTGCTCGAGCATTTTTTGTTTTAATACACCATCAGCTTGTTTTTTATCTTTCTGGTGTGTAGTGCGTTTAATAAGTAGGATTCGTCCGATGGATGCTGCAGTTTCAGCTGTTTTGTTTTTCCGTATAGAGCCGCAGTAAATCTCGCCTGTCACTATAGCCACAGTTTGTGCATTTTCTCAAATGCGAGCTTTGTTTTCTATTTCTCTGGCTGAATCAATAACTATTGCTAGCCTACCCGCTAGCCACCCCATCCATACTTTATTTTTAGGCTACTTCCTGTTCCACCATCGCCACTGATTTCTATCTGTACAAAACAAACACAGGTCGTTTCGTTTCTGTCGTTGCATGTGTAGAAGAAACCCCGTTGTTTATTGCGGGGTTTCACTTCAAAATAAAGGGTTTGTATTCACTGAAATGACGCTTTCATAGAGACATAAACCAAGCCCACACAACGACTTTGCGACTATTTCCCCGGAAAGCGACATGCATCCTGTTTAACAGCGCAGTTCATGAATTACATTGTTTACTGTTTGCTGCTGACTTCTATATTCGCATCTATTCTGTTGCATATTGAAGGTTCCCATGACAGGGCTGTGCTGCTGTATGAATATGTGGGAAAGAAGACGGTGGATCTGCAGCATACTGAGGTTCCTGAAGCTTACAGAGGACGAGAGATCGCCAAACACCTGGCCAAGGTTGTAGATTACTCAAAATCAATGTGAACAATGCTATTACCTTGTTCGCTGGCGTGCATTCAAATTTTTTCTTTTTCTTTTGCTAGGCTGCGATGGACTTTGTGGTAGAGGAGGACCTGAAAGCCCATTTAACCTGCTGGTACATCCAGAAGTTTGTTAAAGAAAACCCTCACCCCCATTACTTGGAGCGCATCCTCCATTGAGAGCATTGAGGATCTCTTGATTCTAATTGGATGATTTGGGATTGGGTGGGATGGGTATCTTTTGGGCGTCCCTAATCCGTCTGACTGGGCTTGAAACTCCACAAAAGAAAGATTTATTTTGATGTTTGCGAGCAAGAGTGAATGCGATCGAAGGAGGGGAGAGATCTGAAACTACAAAGCCATGTAAACATTTTCTTTGGAAATATGAGAGTGTGGACTTTGAGGTGGGCACGTTTTCCCGTAACTCAAGCAGACTTTCAAGCCAATCTAGAGAAGGGAGGGGATTATGTTTGACATGTTCATAAGAGTGACGTCAGACTCCATATGCCTCTCTGGCCTTACGCCTTCAGATTTAGTGGTGCTCACGAGAGAGATACACGTGCACTTGTGTACCCACATGCACAGGATGTGCACAGGAGTTTTAGGGACATCCCAATGTAACTGTCCTGTCAAAAACAGCTATTCTCTTCTGTGCATGTTCTAGGCTGGTTTTGTGCTTTTGCATGTGTGTATCGGTGTATACCATGGCCAGTGAGGAGCTCAGACTCTGGAGACAATCGCCTGCCCATATATTCGCAGGGCTGAACCTCTCAGGATACACACTTTATAAACACAGTAAAGCACCTCTGCTTAGAGGATTCTGTTACAAGTGGTTGGATGTGTGTGTATGGACAAGAGTGTGAGCGTATGAATCAGTGTATGTTAATTACTCCCATAAATCCCAGGGGTCTTAATAAAAGTCAGTTGATGAACTGGCTTGAACAACATCGGTTGTTTGCATTTCATATTCTGTGCCGACACAAACATCTGTGACACCATAAATGACTGATATTCCTGGCGATGATAATGATGGTCATCTTTTTCACGTAAAACTGGGCTCTGTTACGTCAGTTTATAATGTAATAAAGACTAAAGATGCCTGACACCCATCTGTTTTTACACACTTATGTACTCTTAATATTACTATTCATGGTTTTGAATAAAACATTTTAGATCTTGGTTTATGAGTGTTTGTGTTCATGAATATGATGTGTTTTAATTGTCTGTACTTTCGAATAAAGTTTTTTAAATATTGAAATATGCTGTATTCAATAATCATTAATTCATTGTTGTTTGTGCCACTTCTATACTTATTTCTGTGCACTGCTAACTATTGGGTGTAGTGAACACTACTAACACTGAAAGTGTCTTTTGGACCTTGAACCGTTTGGTTCCCACTGAAGTCCATTATATGGAGAAAAATCCTGTTATCATCAAAAACCTTAATTTCTTTTTGACTGAAGAAAGAATGACATGTTTTTTTAAAAGTGAAACTACTCTTTAAAATGTTTTTTAGAAAAACAAAATTCTGTAAAAATCTAAAAATGTTTTTTCTTTTCTTATTTAAAGCACCGTTGGACAGTCCGCACAATGCCTACAACTATTGCTTTGATTTTAGTTCCCTTTCCTAAAAAAATAGATGAATGCATTTTCTGAATTTAATCAATGCACATATATCAAATGAACGGTCTTAATGCTTATATGTTATGCAATCCATCATTACTGGGGGAGACAGAGAGCGCAAACCACGCACGTGTTACCGAGCACCGTGTATACGGTTCCCCCCTCCCCTCCTATGCACCAGCGCCATACGAGGACGGGACTCACTACATAAACGAGAACCGACCACATTATGGGTGAGTGCCTTCTCTGTAATACCCTCGCATCCACGTGTTTTACATGACTTAAAGTTTTGGACACAGTACAAAACAGTTAAATCATTTAGTCAGACCACATTCTTTATGCAACGTTTGCAAACGCTGTGGGAATGGTTTGTCCTCCTACTGAAAGCCCCATAGTGTTGTCCTTGCTTTCGATTGGTCACCTCCGCTATTCAAAAACATAAATAATATAGCCTCGCGGGACAAACTGTAATTAAAAGCAGTTACTTGTTTGTTGTACGAAATAATGTGTTCCATACATTACAAACAAATGTCTTTAACTAAATAAAGCAAACATTAATATCGTTTCCGAATCTGTTCAGGTGGTAGGGTCCTCAACTAAATTCAGATTCACGGGATTTGTAGTCTCTTTCATGTACTCGAAATTATTAGCGCTGAAGCCGCGAACTACATTACCTAAAGTGCACCGCGACAAGTTTTGCGTCAAGTCTAGTCCGTTGCTTTTTCAAGATGGCGTCGCTGGGAAGGAGGCGCGGTGTCCCAGTCAACAGGGAGAGGTCAGTTAGACTAAAACCTGTCATTATTTCATAATACTTGACGTGAAATGTTTAAGCTTTGTGCACATTTTAAGTTCGTTTCCTATCTTTAAAACACATGGTCTTTTAACGTTTTGTGAAGCCACAAATCCTAAAGAAACATAGTCTGAATGGAGCTCATGTGTTGTTTTGATTAGCTTAACGTTACTGATTAGCAGTTCAGAGAACACCAAAAATGTAATTATATGGCGGTTTTATCTGAAATCTTGATATTGATCCTCCGTGTTTTGCAGTAATGTGTTACCCATTTTGACAAGCGAGAGACAAGTTGAAACAGCGCTTTTCACCCATGACAGCGGGTTTCAAGGAGATATGTGCAGTTAGCAGCATTTATAGTTGTTATACTAAGTTTCATGTACTGTAAATGTCTTGAAAACAGTAATAAATTGTATTTTTGCTCCAAAAAATATGTCCTTTTAATGCACAGCCTGTTTAACTGACAGTAACGTAACGTTATGTGTTAAAATTTAAGGCGGAACGCTCTCGCCTGATTTTATGAAGTTAACGTTAGTTAACAGTCCGTATTTTCTAATATAATAACTTGTTTTAAATGACAAGATTTTATCAACATAACTAATAAAATTGTCTTTCATTGTACATTTGAAAATGTACCGTCAGATTTTTCCACTTCTATTCAAACATAGCGAATAAGTTTTTTGTTTCACACGCAGAGAACCCAGGCCGCAGATGCTCTGGCTGATATGGGCAACGCGAGACAGGTCTCGTCTAAAGACCACTATATACAGTCATTTTTTAGCGGAGGATTTTTTTTATAGCAGCTTTACCATTTTTAAAACAATTTAGAAACATGTGGCAAAAAAACAAAAAAAAAAATCATCACAGGAAATGCGTCCCATCTGAAGTAATATTGACTGGTCATAAAGCATCTGCCTTGTCAAAACATTTTGACTTTTTGTACACATTAAATCTCAGTAGTTGCATTCACATGCAACCAAATAATCAGATCAGACTGATGGCTCAATCGGGCTGAAAAGCCTTGAGTTAAACGCCTCATTTGATTTGAAATTTCGATTGTATTGGAAGGGTTGGTGTAGACCTGAAATAATCATATCAATAGGAAAAAGTTAAGCATTTAAACACTTAAATCCAAGCTTTTTCCTCAATCAGAGTTTAAAAAATGTCTTCCGTACATGAACAGTGGTCTTACAAGCTGATCAGTGAAGGAGACTAAATATTTGATTAAAAACAAGCTCTTCTGATATGTCATCAGAACAAAAATGGCAATTAAATTACTGCAGCGGCAATATTGTACTGTTTTGAATCGCTTTGCTAAGTTTAGATTTTATATAAACAGAAGTTTCAGAATGTGAAATCTGAATAAATTAATTTGGGCCTGGTTTAAGTAGCTTTAAGTAACATTTAAGTAGCTTTTATAAACGTGCCTTAGAAAAAAAAAAACATTACTGGTGTTTAACTCAAACATGGTATGGTCCTACCTATGGTCTGTGAAACCAGGGGTTGGTATGGCGAACTCACATTTTCCTCTTCCTCTTTTCTCTCTCTCAAGGGGAGTGATGGCGGCGACGGAGTGTTACATCGTCCACGAGATCTACAACGGCGAGAATGCACAGGAGCAGTTCGAATATGAGCTGGAACAGGCTCTTGAGGCACAGTACCGCTACATCGTGATCGAACCCACGCGCATCGGGGACGAGACAGCCCGCTGGGTGGCCGTGGGAAACTGCCTCCACAAATCCGCCGTTCTGGCCGGGGCCGCGTGCCTCCTGACGCCGCTCGCCCTTCCCGCCGACTACTCCCGTTACGTGGCGCTGCCGGCTGGCGCTCTGAGCCTGGCCTGCGCCGCACTCTACGGCATCTCTTGGCAGTTCGACCCCTGCTGCAAGTACCAGGTAGAGTACGACAGTCAGAAGCTCTCGCGGCTGCCCCTGCACACGCTCACCTCCTCTACACCGGTGGTTCTGGTTCGACGGGACGACGTGCACAGAAAGAGACTGCACAACACGATAGCGTTGGCGGCCCTGGCGTACTGTGCCAAGAGGATCTATGAATTGTACGCTGTATGAGCGCTATGCCACATCACACGCACGCATACAGACACTGACCTACACACACAAAACACGCGGCAAGGAGGTGAGAAGCACTACTAAACATCCGACACTGGCAGATACACACACGTACACACCAAACAATAACATACGGACGGACCGACAGTGAGAGTGATCGAAAAAAGGATACGCGACGCTTTATCTGTCACAATTTTTCATTTCAACTGGTCAAGGATTGGACAGATTGATGGATGGATGGATGTATGAGAGGAGCGGTTGGGGGGGAGCTTATAGTTCTGAATGAATCTTCCTCTTTTCTCTGTACTTTAAAAGTGATATCACCAGTGCACTTGAGCCCCCTTTCCCAATTCTTCCCTGCACCTGTCCAGCCCCATCCTCGTCCCGCGACCCTCCCCCAACGGTCACCTGCCACCCACATGGAGCTTCCGCACCCGGGTAGCGACCTGTCGGACCGAACGTGTGGTGGACAGACAGACGTGTTTTAAGAATGACCTTTGAATCCTCTCTTTTCTCCCTCTGTGTAGTTTTACTGTACCCTGCCTTTGGTGCGTCACCTTTTCATTAAACAGTAGGAGATTTAACCTCACAGGTATCTCTGATGACCTTTATTTTGACCCTCAAGGGCTTGGATTCTTTCTTATTGCACATCTAAGTTGTAGCCTTCATGCAGATCTCGCAGTCAGATTTATTTTTCAGGTCACGGTTTGTAATGGATCAGTATGAATCCGGATCTTCTGATGAAGTTAAGAAAAATAAATCTAAAAAGTAAATGTTAACTCCTCTGAAAGAGATAGTTCACCCCGAAATTGAAGTTTTGTCATTTACTCATGTTGTTTTAGATCTATATGCTGTTACTTAATTTTTCATTTTTGGTTATAACTATTCTCTGAATTTGCAGGCAAACCAGTGCAATTGAATGGAATTTACTTACTTATTTACAATATAACAAGCAGTTATTCACAGCCTATTTGCAGAGAAATTGTGAGAAATATAGTTTTCAAATGATATTTTGTATTAATGGCACCATGTTAAATGATGTTTATGCTGTTCTTACAAATGCATCTGGCCTGTGGAGCTTAATCGAGTCATCTGTTTTATTTTGATATTGTAGTGTATAATATCTAAAATGGGAAATTCAAAGAGAAAATGGTAAGGCTTAATTGTATATCTTTATTGTATGTGGGTTTAAGAGTCATTTCTGCTCATTAGAATTTGAAAATAATGATATAAGAAAAAAAGTTTTCTCCAATTCTGCAGTTGGTCAACACTTCACCTTTAGAAGTCAGTGCTTATCATTCTTACAGCCACATTAGAAAACCATAATAGAATCTTGTGCTTTTGACATTTCAGATAGATGTCCAGTGTCGGATTCTGACGCATTCTTCAGGTTAACCAGAATTGCACAAAGATATATACTGATGAGTCAAAACATAAGTCACAGGGGAAGAAAATATTGATCATCTAACAAGGCCACATATTATGGCCTGGATAGATTAGATTGTAAGCAAACAATCAGTTCCTGTAATCGACGTGTTGGGGGCAGGAATAAAGACCTGAGTGACTTTGGCAAGGTTACTGGGTCAGAGTTTCTTTGAAACCACAAGATTTGTGGGTTGCTCCTGGTCAGCAGTGGTGAAAATTTACCAACTGTGGTCAGAGGAGGGACAAACCACAAACCGGCGACAAGATGTTGGGCACCCAAGGCTAGTCGATCTGGTCCGAGCCAACAAAAAGTCTACGGTGGCAAAAGTCACAAAATTTTAATGATCACTTGGAATGGAAGAAGGTTACCTAGGTCTGATGAATCCCATTTTCTTTTACGTTACTTCGGTGGCTATGTATGTATGCACTGTAAACCAGGGGAAGTGATGTCAGCAGGAAGTAAATTAAAGTAAATGATTACGAGAAGACAGTTGAGGGATTGATTGGCTGAGCAACGTTCTGAAACCCTGGGTCCAGCAATTCACATGGACGTAAATTTAACACACGCCACCTACTTAGGCAGTCGTGGCCTACTGGTTAGCGAGTGAGACTAGTAACTCGCAGGTTGCAAGTTTTTATTCTCCATACTGGCAGGAAATGACTGAGATGCCTTGAACAAGGCTCCTAACCCCCCTATCACTCCCAGGCAAAAATGGCTGCTCATCACATCCCACTGCTCTGGGTGGGATGTGGTGAACCAACAAGTTCATGGCATCTTCACCTTGCAACCTACAGGACTTGAAGCATGTTCTGTGCCAGATACCACTGGACACCTTCCAAGGTCTTGTAGAGTCTGTGCCTCAGAGGGTTGGTGATGTAGACAGAAGCTCATAATGTTTTGGCTCAGTGTATAATACTATATATAATTCTATATCACAAAGATATTATACTATAGTTCATGATGTTAATGTTTTCAGGTTAGAAGGTGAGTCCATATGTTGTTTAAAAAAAAACATTTTTTTAAAATAAGCTTATTCGGAAAGAATGAACATGAAACTAAAACTGTTACGTATCTAATTTAAATAGTGCATGATTTTAAGGGGACTGGAATGGGGCTTTTCTTTAAACTTTAAGTGCAGAGGTGTTGTACAGGTTCTTTATGGTTTACTAGTTTTCAAAGGAAACCAGGTCTGAAACTCATCTTCAGGAATCTGAAAGGTAAACTTGTGTAAAAAGAATTTGATAAAATACCATATATTTCATGCACGTGGACATCTTTTTAAATCGCTGAGTTTGGAGCTGTACGTGAATCGGTGGAAATGAAAGAATGAATATGGCAGTAAATTGTCTTCTGTTTAGACTGACTGTTTGAACGCCATTTAAATAGCATTGCCTTGACAGAACTGTCTGGTGAGTTTCCTCCATCAACCATATTTGGAGACAAAAATCACCTGGGCTGGCACTGCAAACTCCAAATATTTTTTTTGGTCAACAGTAAAGCATAGCAAGGAGCAAATTTAGAGTTTTAATTTGGACCAACATCATGGTCTCTTGAGGGAAAAAAAATCCCTTTATATGCCAATTAATGCACAATTTAGAATTGAGTTTTTTCTCCAAAGCACAACTGTCATGCACATCCACCACCCAGGATCTTACTGAGAGCGGCATATGTGTGGTGCATCACTATAAAACGAAAATGAGTCATTAGCATCTGTCATAACCAGATTATCATGATGCGGTCCTTGCAGACTGTAATGACGACGCTCCAAATCCATTTCTATTGTTTTTTTGTTGTTGTTGTTGTTGCTATAGAAACCTATTTGGGACAAAAGGCAGTTGAAAACTTCATCTAATGTTCAGATTTCAACTTCATGTTAGCATAGGGGGCACCAGAACATTACGATGATAATTAATTGAATATTAAGATGTGTAACTTTAGGAAATTAAATGTGACTTTCAACAGGGTGCCTGGAGTGGAAAATTGAGTTCATAATAAATTACGGTTAATAAATGTTCAATATATTAACAAACCATTTAATTTAAATTTAAATACATGCCATGAATATTCACCTTTAGACATACAACGTTTTTGCCGATGAAATCTTCAGAGGAAAGATGCAAAGTTTGTTTCTAATACTGTTTTGTCTTATTCTTCTTTCACTCTCTGTTCTTTTACGGCCCGTGAAGCCATCAGTCTGAAGTAGAGAGCAGGCCAGAGTGTGCGCAGATAGACGGCCGCAGTCGGCAGCGGTCCAGCCAACACCACGTCTTTCTGTTTGTGACAGACAGCCTTCAGAACGGCACGTGCCACGTCCACTGGATCCCACCCCTTAGCTGTGGTTTGGTCCATTACTTCAGACCCAAAAGAACAAAACAAAAAGAAACGCTTCTTAAGAGACTGAGATTAAGAGTTTGGTTGACAAGAACAGCATTCTCTCACCTCCATATTGAGAGCCGTCCCCCGTGACTGCATTGATGGACAGGTTTGTTCTGATGTAGCCCGGGCTGATGACAGACACCTGCAGGCCGAACCTGTCGACCTCTGCCCTCAAACAGTCAAAGTAGGCTTGCGTCGCATGCTTAGATGCAGCATCTGATTAAAAGCATTACAGAGATGCAACCTGATCACTAGTAATACACCTTTTTAAGACTGAGTTCCGAAAATGTAGGGAATAAATGAAGGGGAAACCAATAATTCACTATATGTTTCTAAATGTAAATGTCTAGGGAGAAACACAATGAGTAGTATTAACAACACTTCAAAGTTTGAAATTACAACTTCCAACAGATTTCCATTACTTTTTAATTCATAAAAAAAGCTTGAATCCCACTGCTCCCAACCACTAGAATATGGAAACATCGTTTACTGTACCTTCTGATCATAGTGCAAAAAGCTAAGTTGTTCCTCAGTATTTTTGTTTTGTTTTCCAGTGCAAATGCCTAAAGATTCTTACATCAAGATGCATTTACTGGGGATAAAAAATGACATATAGACCATTTCACAAGATGTAAATAACACTGGTCCAGAAGCACTTCCTGTTTCAGTTTGTAACTGTTTTCTTTATTTCACGTGTAAAGAAAACATCTTACAGATGTTTGTTTAACTTTTTGATTCAGTTTTAAATGTTCTGTTGGTTGTATTTTATCCCAGCTTTTATGTAGTGTTACAAAACTGAAACAGGAAGTGCTTCTGGACCAGTGTTGTTTACATCTTGTGAAATGGTCTATAATATGAAGTCTTGTTAAGGTGAAATTGGTCAAAATTAAATACATTTATTATTAAAACAAAAACACGAAAATATGCCAATGGGCTCAGAAACATTTCAACAGGGTTCTCAAGTCTCACGCATTGGCCGTGAGACACACTCATTTCGACCGGTTCACACGCTCACACGCTCACACGCCACACTGTGTATTTCTCACGCTGAAAAGGCAATGCCAACCAAGTTGTCCTGGCTGAAAGCTTTCTAACGTTGTATACGAGGCGCAGGCAAACAAAGTGAAGTTTCCTGCCGCCAGCGCGTATCTCCGCCAGATAATTGACAGTTTCTTGTCTCATAGTAGTACATGAACAGTGTAAGAGAAGCTCATAAATGACTACCATTTTTTATGATATACTATCAAGAAAAAATATTAAAGGGGTGATGAACTGAGAAATCAAATTTTCCTTGAGCTTTTGATATCTAAGAGGTTATCATATTATAAGAATATCCTGTAAGTTTCAGAACTGAAAACGTCCTTGTTAGTCCAATAAAAGCTTTTATTTACACCAGCCTCTGAAAACATCTCGTTTTAAAAAGTGGGAAACTATGACGTCGAAGGGGTTAAAACACCACCCCCGCAGAAGAAGATCAACACCTACTTCAGCACGGCCGGTTTAGCCCCGCCCACCGATTCGCGCATTACACGCATAGTTAAGTATCCTAACGTATGCCTACCTCGTGATGACAAACCGGATCGTTCTACCGAGCAATACAGAATATTGTGCAGTGCCTGGTTGTGGAAGAAGACAGTCGCTGCATAAGCTTCCTCTGGATTCCAATAGGACTTCATGGATAAACTTTATTTTTAAAGTCCCCGTGAAATCAAAATTGAACCTATTTACTTTGTTAGCGCATATTACTAGTCTTGTGGTGAACAATTAATCCGTGCAAGTGAATATATATTAAAAAAATGTTTTACCTTGGTAATCTTTAATCAAAATCTGAAAAGTTACTTCCGGTCTGGAACGGTTTCTTTTTCTGATGACGTAGGTTTCACAGTTTGGGTGGGGAAACGCTTAACCAATCCACGCTTAATTTCTCAGGAAATACAGTAGTGATTTAGCTAAAAAAAGAAAAACAGAAGAAAATGACACTATACTTAAAATTGCTTCTTTAACTTCTAAGCCTTTAGATGTACTTACTGAGTCAGAACAATTGGAACTTACTAATCAGCAGCATAGGTTGGATGAGATATATAAAAGAAAGGCGGAAGGTGCTTTTGTTAGATCTCGCCGTAAGTGGCTCGAAGAGGGTGAGCAGAACTCTGCTTATTTCTTTAGACTAGAAAAGCAGCAATCCAAAAATAACACCATTCAACAATTAAGTATTGATGGAATAATTACTGACGATTCAAAGAAAATTGCCAAGTATTGTGCTAAATTTTACAGTGATCTTTACACCTCAAGATATTGTCCTGAAGATGCTACTTGTTTCTTTAATTCTATTCCTAATATCAATCAGATTTCTG